GCAGACAACTTAGGTTATGCAGCTATCAAGAAAGAAGATCTATCAGAATTGAAGAGATTATCAGAAGAACCGCCTCTTGAACATATTACTTCTAAGGCAGAATCAGTTGGTTATGTGGTGATTAAAGAAAGTAAATTTAAGGATTTAGAAAACACAGAAAAGTCTCCAACTATTGAATTCATCAAGAAGAAAGCCAAATTGTTGAATTCAGTAGTTTTAAATAAATTGGAATATAATGAGTTACTTCAGAGAATCGAAAACCCAACAATTGACGAGATAGAGAACCGTGCTGGCAAGAAGGGCTTGGCTATATTAGAGAGTAAAGACCTTACAACATTAAAAAAATTGGCTCATGAACCTTCTGCGGATCATATTATTTCTAAATCTAATGCTGCCGGATTAGTATCTCTTACCACTTTGGAGCATGAAAATCTATTTGATTTAGCTCATAAACCTACAAGATCACAACTTGAGATTAAGGCGAAGGAAGGTAACTTGATAATTTTAGAAGCTAAGCAATATAAGGACATGATAGAACAACAGAAAAGACCGTCTATTGATTATTTGAAAGCTAAAGCTGCCGAAAATGGACTAACTACTTTGACAATCGATGAGTATAGAGAGTTGGATGAATTGGCTCATAAACCTTCAATTGATCATATAAAGTTAAAGGCCAAGGATCTTGATATGGTGATAATGTCTGAAAAGGACCATAACAATCTACAAGAGTTGGCATATAACCCAACTGAAGAACATTTAACTAAAAAATCAAATGAATTGGCACTAAAGCTTATGAAGAGCGATGAGTACGAAGTATTAGTGAAATCTGCAAATAGTCCACTGGTTGATAGTATAAAACAAATGGCTTCTGCTAATAATTTGATAATTTTAGATGAAAGCCAACACAAGGACTTAAAGGACATGGCAGAAAAGCCATCTATTATTCATATTAGTTCGAAAGCTGAAGAAATGGGATATGTAATCGTCGAGAGGGAAAAGCAGAAGAAATTGGAAGCTTTGTCAAACAACCCAACGCAAGAGCAAGTTTCAGAAATAGCATCCAGATTGAATTTGACTACCTTGAGTGTAGGTCAACATGAAGAGCTTATGGAATTGGCTAATAATCCTAACAGTGAACAAATTGCATTATGTGCGAGTAAATTAGGGCTAGTTACTATAGAGAAAGGCCAGCGAGATAAATTATTGCAAATATATAATAATCCGAATCCTGAATTTATCAAAGAGGTAACCTCAAAGGCTGGAATGATTGCTATCGACAATGGTGAATATGATACTTTGGTTGGGTTAGCGAATGATCCTTCTCTTTCTCATATCGAGAAACTTGTAAAAGAGAAGGGACATGCGGTTGTTGCGTGTGAAGAATTAGAAAAGTTGGAAAGACTCGCGAACAGCCCACATAAGGAACATATAAATGATGTAGCTGAAAAGTTAGGACTTCTTTTGATACCAGAGAAGGAACATAAAGAATTACTCCAACCAAATAAGAAAAGAATCAAGAAACAAGCAAATGATCTTGGTCTTGTATTGTTGCCTAAACAAGAGTATGATGAATACAATCAAACTATCAATAATCCTAAAGATTTTATATTGAATAACGCTCGCTCATATGGATTAGTAGCTACCTCAGAAGAAAAGTTCAATGAAATATCATTGAAAGCGAACAAACCCGATAAAAACCATCTTATTGAAATGGCACCTTTAGCTGGAATGGTCGCTTTAACGAAGAGCCAACATGATCAATTCCTTTCCCAAACACGCGAAACCAAAGATGAACCAGTTAATTTAGATTTTGATACCATTGTCAAATCGGCATCTCATTCTGGTTACGACTTAATAAAGAGAGAAGATTTAATTGAGATGCAGAACAAACTTGAAAATCCAAGCAAAAAGCTGCTAATAGAACAAGCTGAAAAGCAAGACTTAACCATAGTACCTAAGTCGAAATTTATTGAAATGGAAAGAAGTATCAATACACCTTCATTAGAATTTCTCACAAAACATTCAAGCATTATTGAACATTCCTTGATCCCAAAAAATGAATATGCAGAGATCAAAGAAAAAATCAATAATCCAACTATTGATTTTATAAGACAGAATGGAGAAAAAAAGGGGCTAGTTGTTTTAAACAAAAATGAGTATAGCGAAATAAAAAACCCAAGTCACAGAAAAATGCTTGAGTATGCTTCTAATGTTGGACTTATTTGTATCGAAAAATCTACATATGATGAGCTCCAAGGGATTATTTCCTCTCCATCAATTTCATTTTTAGAAGAAAAGTCTTCAAATAATGGTTATAGTTTGGTGTCTCAAGATGAATTTCATAAGCTAAATGAAAAGCTTCTGAGTCCATCAGAGGATTATTTAAGAGATAAAACGAAATCATTAGGACTTGTTTTATTGAATCAAAGTGAACATGACGAGCTTGTAAGATTAGCCCATCACCCAGATGAACCTCATATGCATTCAATTGCCTCATTAATGGGTTTGACTGTGGTAGATAGTAGTCAATACAATGACTTAAAATCAAATGACACAAATCCTACTCTTGAATATGTTTCTGAAAAAGCCATGTTACTTGATCATATTATTATATCTAAAGATGAGTATTCCTTATTGTTAAAGAAAGCTGATAAATCCTTGCTCGACAGAGCAAACGATGAAAATATGACAGTTCTTAATAATGAGGAATACGATATCATGACAAAGAATATTGATGATCCAAGTATGGAATATATTACTTTGAAGGCTGAAAATCATGATTGCAAAGTAATACCTTTGTCAGATTTCGATCAATTATGTCACGATGCAGAAAAGCCTATACATCAAAGGGCCGAAGAAATTGGTATGAAGGTGCTTTCTATCGAGGAATTCATCAAATTGAAAGAAGAAATTGCATCACCATCCGCTTCATACTTGTCGAAGAAGGCAGAAAAATTAGACATGGTGGTGATAACAAATGAAGAATATAATAAGCTCAAGAGTCGTTTTGAAAAGACTGTCCACGAAATTGCAAAAGAATCACGCATGCTTGCATTACCTATGACAGATTTAGATGCATTATGGTGTCATTTTGGTATGAATATCGACACCAAAACACTCGATGAGGACCAAACTGGTATTTTCAAAGAAAAGTTACAAAAAGTAATCGAAGAAGTTGAGTCACCTTCGTTTGAGTATATTACAGAAAAATTGGATACTTATAATCATGTGGCTGTTCCTCAAGAGAAATATGATAATTTGGTTGCGTCTTTTAATGAACCATTCGATATTAAAGCTAAGAAGCAAAATATTAAGCCGATCACATTAGTGGATTACGACAATATAATGCAACAGCTTAACAATCCTACTTTGGAGAGCCTTGTTGAGAAGCTGAAGGTCCATGACCACTTGGTTATTCCTAAGGTTGAATTTGAAACCTTGAAGAAGGAAGTTGAGAGTCCTACTTTGGAGAGTCTTTCTGAGAAGCTGAAGGTCCATGACCACTTGGTTATTCCTAAGGCTGAATTTGAAAAGTTAAATAATGAGTTTGAAGAATATAAAAATAAAGCTGTAAATAAAGCTATTATAGAGCCATCCTTATATGAAGAGTTATGCACAAAGGCTTATGACCCAAGTTTAGATCACATTAAGAAGAAAGCTCGAAAATATGATCATTCTCTAATTTTGAATGGAGAATTGACTGAACTAAGACAATTATCGGATTCACCTTCATTGGATCATATCAAAGAAAAAGCTGGAGACAAAGCGCATATCATAATAAGCCTTCCTGAATTTGAAGAATTAGAGAGTATGGCCAATGAGCCAGTTCAGGTTAAAGCCGAAAGATTGTCATTGAAGTTATTGGGGGCAGACGAGTTTGAGGAATTAAAAAAGAATTCTTCTGAGTCTATAGAAGATAAGGCTTCTAGATTAAAAATGAAAGTTATTTCAATTGATGAATTTGAGAAGTTAGAGCGGAGTGCATCTGAACCATTGGCTAGGAAAGCTGAAGTTGCAAACCTAAAATTGATGTCACCTGAAGAATATCAAAACATAATGACTAAGATTGAATCGCCATCATTAGAATATATAGAGGATAAGGCACATGTACATGGCTTCTCTATTATAGAGTCAAAAGAATTAGATGAATTACATAAATTGGCAGAGGAACCATTGGAAGATAAAGCTTCGCGTAAAAAGCAACGAGTTATATCAATGAATGAATTTGATATTTTGCAGGGAAAAATAGAAAATCCTTCCCTAAATTACTTAATGGAGAAGGCTTCTACTAGAGGACATACAGTTATTGAAACGGAAAAGTATGATAGTTTAAAATCTGTCGCAGGTAGGTCTTTGGAAGATCACGCAAAAGAATTTGAAAAGAAATTGATTTCACCTGAGGAATACAATGACTTGCTAGTCAGAGCCAACAAACCTTCAATTGAAAGTATCAAAAAGAATGCGCTTATAAATGGATTGAAAGTGTTGTCAATTGAAGATTATGAGCAATTGCTGTCTATAGCTAATCAACCTTTGGATGAAAAAGTTAAATCACTTGGTTTAATAGCTGTTGATGAATCTGACTATGAAAATTTACAAGCACAATTGAATAATCCTAGTCCTGAAGCTCTTTCAGCAAAAGCACAAGAGTTTGGTCTACATGTAATGCCAGTTGATGAATTCGATTCTATCAAAAAATCTATCCATGCGAAAATAAGAGATGCTTCAGACTCAGAGATTATTGAAATTGCTGAGAAACGTGGCTATACGTTAAGATCTGGAAGCGAACTGGCTGGTGATACTGACGTGGATGAATTGACTAAGAAGGCAGAAAAAATCGATATGGTAATGATATCCAAACAAAAGTTTAAAGAATTTTCAAACCCAAAACCGTATGATAAAAGTTTGGAAGATCATGCGAAAGAGTTGTCTCTCGCATTGATACCAGAGGTTGATGTATTGAAGATGAAACAAAGCATTGCAGAAAAGGATTCCCAAATATTCAACTTGAGTAGAACTTCAGGCCAAGATTTTGGTAAAGAAACACTCATCAGCAAGCTGCATGAACTTGATATGGTTTTATTAGAAAAAACAGATTATCATGAGTTAAAATCACTTGCTCATATCGGAAAAACCCCCCCTCAAATGAATTTATCGGCGGCCGAAATTACTTCATTAGCTTCTGAATTAGGTTTATCTGTAATAACAGACGACGAATACGCCAAGTATGAAAAGCTATCCAGAATAGTAGAAGATAAAGATAAGTTGACTGAAGTCGGTAGAAAGTTAGGACTTTTATGTATTCCAAAATCTGCCTTTATTGCAACTACAGTTTCAAGGACTGCTGACGTGAAGAAGGTGACGGTGATACCGACAACTTATTATAACAAATTAACAAGGAATGACACTTTATGTATTGAAAAAGTTTCAGATGAAGTTTTCAAGAAATATGCAGAAAAACGTGGATATACATACAAGGATAGCTTTCCTATGATTCCAAAATCAAACAGTGGAAGTCCCGAAATGAATATAGTCTCAAAATTCTCACCACCTGCTTCTGGCGGAAATATAAAGAGTCCTCCGTCGTTTGGCTCGGCTGGCTCGTACCATATAAAAATGAATTCTTTAACAGCATCTAATTCAATCAGATCCAATTTATCACATCATTCCAATGTTAATAGTATTGATGATTCCCTTCATAGTACTAGTGCTTTTTCAATGGCGACAAATGCTTCATTAACTGATAAATCTATGATACCAGCAATTACTCAAGTTGTTATTGGTGAGTATTTATTTAAATACTATCGCCGCTTAGGTCCATTAAGCTCAATTTCAGAGAGTCGCCATGAAAGATATTTCTGGGTTCATCCATATTCGTTAACTCTTTACTGGTCATCTTCGAACCCTGTACTTACTAATCCTGCAGAACTCAAAACCCGTGCAGCTGCAATTATTAGTGTTGAAAGCGTTGAAGACAACAATCCTCTACCAACAGGTTTATACCATAAGAGTATTATTGTTCATTCTCAAAACAGATCAATAAAAGTCACATGTGCTACAAGACAACGCCATAACATTTGGTACAATGCCTTGCGTTATTTGATTAACAGAAGCGTTGATGATTTAACATTTGATAACGATCATTTCGAAGAGGGTGACAAGTCAGGAAATAATAAGGACGGCCTTTATGACATTGGTGACCGCCATGCTCTTCCTAGGCCCAGGATATCATCCACTCCTCCCAATATACTAAGAAGTCCATCAAGTGGTAAAATAGGACGTTTTCATTCATTGAGAAATTAATTTTAAATTCGATACCTATATGCTTTATATCGTTATATATTAATCAATAAATTGTTTATTCAAATTGAATAAATTACTTTTAATCTATTCGACGTTAGTCATCCTATAATAAAGTAGTTCAATAAAAGTCAGCAAATTAATAGGATATACACCTAAAACGAGAAAACATAAAAATAAAGAAAAACTACCAATCTAAAGTTAATAGTAGCAAATTAGGAACGCAGCATCATGACGCAATATACAACCAAGAAATAAACACGCCAAACAATGAAAATGATCTATTTAGTAGATAATAATTGGGTGAATTCTTGAATATCAATTTCACCGTCGTTGTTAACATCAGCTTCTCTAATCATTTGATCAACATCAGCATCAGATAATTTTTCACCAATAGAGGTTAAAACATGTCTTAATTCAGCAGCACTGATCTTACCGTCTCCGTTTCTGTCAAAAACTTTGAAAGCTTCTGCAATTTCGGCCTCCGAATCTGTATCTTTCATCTTTCTAGCCATCATGGTCAAAAATTCTGGGAAATCAATAGATCCATCACTATCGACATCAACTTCATTAATCATATCAGTCAATTCACTTTCTGATGGGTTTTGACCTAAAGATCTCATTACAGTACCTAATTCTTTAGTAGTGATTTTTCCATCCCCATCCTTATCGAACAAGGAAAATGCTTCCTTGAATTCAGCGATTTGTTGTTCAGATAATTTTTCAGCCTAGACGTTCCGTTAGTACTTATATTCAAATCAAACACGCCTCTATTTATAGAAATCAGCAATAATATTAATTTTAATAATTGAAACTCTGCTAACTCATTATTCCACCCATTTCAATTATTCAATTTTAAAATACCATGAAGTACGTACCATTATGATTTAGTCTAATAACTTTTTATGAATTATTTGTTATATTTACCTAATTGTTTATCTTCTGATTCATCAACATCTTTCACTTGCGCTGTTAATAATAAAAAAAAAATATCACATGACCATATGATTCAATACTTCAAGACAGAATTCTAAATAGCTTAGTCTTAAATACGGTTGCAAGGTTGTTCGTATTATCTATATGAACAGTTCGAAGGGGTTATGGGTAGCAGGAGATATTTTTATGTCTGATGACAGAAGAAAATGAAGAAAATGGTAGTCAGTACCAGAAGTTTTTAAGATCTTTAGATGATAGTCAGTTGATATCTCATATCAACAGTTTAAGTCAGCAAGAGCAGAAGAGCCAAAATATCGTTTTAGATGATATACAGGGAGAGTCAACACCCATGGAAGCTGGGAAAGGGGTGTTAGGAGAATTTAATGCTAGCTTTAGAAGCTTCGCGTCGTTAAGCTCTGATCCATTTGATGATGGATTGGATGATGTTTTGGCTAATATACACTCAGGGAGAACGAGCTTCACGGGGAAATTACTTGAAATCAGTCATGCTGATAGTGGTGGAAACAAGCGCCAGAAAATTGGCCAGGACAAGTCATTGGAGCAAAATCTTTCAGTGCCTGAGGTATTTTCAGACGAAGAAGAGGGATCGAGAGAGAAACCATTAGAAGTTGATGATGCAGCGGATTACGTTGAAGATGTTTCTGACAATGTAGAAGGAAGTGATGAAAATGATGAAATGCTACCTAGACACGAGTTTGGGGACTTCGCCACTTATTTTCATAACAAGCATTTAAAGCAGCAAAAGGCTGATAAAGAGTACATTAAGTGGGACGTTGAAAGAAGAAAATATCAATGTGGAGATGAAAGAATGGAGATACGCAAGCCCGTATTCGAGGGTTGTGTAATTCATGTCAATGGACATACCGTGCCTTCGATTAATGAAATTCATCGGCTAGTAATTCTACATGGGGGTAGGTTTTTAAGCCATTTATCAAGCAAAGGGTCTGCAACCCACATAATCTGCGATAGATTAACTCCCAGAAAAAAGATTGAATTCAAGAACTACAAAGTAGTCCGTGCACAATGGATTGTCGATTGCGTTGAACGTAATGATTTATTAGACTGGAATAACTACAGATTAATGCTGGAGGTTTCCTATGGCCAGAAACGTTTAAATTTTGCAACAGGGGAAAATAGAGAAGATTTGAGAAATCGAATAGAAATACCAGCAGAAGTAGAATCAGAAGTGGATGAAGAAGAGTCAGATGATGAAAGTGTACTCGACAAACTTTTATCTGATCAAGCTGAAAATGACATTGAAGAGATTGAAATAGCGATACCAGAAGAAGAAAATTCAAAAAAATTAGTATCAGATAAAGTTGTTCCTAGATTTGAAAAAATTGCGATGGATGCAAAGCACCCTGACTTTCTCAAGCACTTTTTTGCGAACTCAAGGCTTCATCACTTAAGCACCTGGAAAGCAGATCTCAGGTTGAAATTCTTAAGAAAGGTTGCCCTCGAAAAGATACCAAACGAGCCTAACAGTAGCCATACCTTAGAAAGCCCCGACAAAAAAGTTATTCTCCATGTGGATTTTGATTGTTTTTTTGCGACAGCGTCTTGCTTGAACCGTCCCGATTTAGACATAAAAAGGGATCCAATTGCTGTGACGCACGGTGGACGTACATCTGATATTGCAAGTTGTAATTATGTAGCAAGAAAATTTGGAGTTCGTAATGGTATGTGGTCTGGTAAAGCAAAGCAATTATGCCCCCAGTTAATACATTTAGATTATGATTTTGATGCGTATGAAAGATATTCGGCAAGTTTTTATGATTATTTAATTTCTCGTGGTATATTTGATCATATATTTCCAGTACTGATTGATGAGGTATTGTTAGATGCAACTAACTTTTGTTTTGAAAGTAGTAGGTCACTCGTGGATACCGTTAATGAGCTTTCGCAAACAATAAGAGAAGATATATTTAATCTCACAAAGTGTTCTGTTAGTATTGGCGCTTCACACAATGTTTTACTAGCGAAATTAGCTTTGAAAAAGGCAAAGCCAAATGGCCAATTATATCTTCATGAAGCAATTGATGATTTCTTAGATAATATTCCAGTTAAAGATTTACCAGGTATTGGGAATAGTATTAAATACAAGTTAATAGAGGAAATCCCGGATTTGTCTAGTCATGAGCCACTAATAAAGGACTTAAAACCATTCACAGAATCAAAATTAATGAATATTTTTGGAAAGAAGACTGGTACTAAGTTATACCAATTTGCAAGAGGAATTGATTATTCAAGCATCAAGATAGATTTAAGTAATAGTGAATCTGTTCTCGGAAGAAAGTCAGTATCCGTCGATGTTAATTTTGGTATACGATTTGATACTGTTCCTCAGGTTGAAGTATTTTTAATAAACTTATCTAAAGAATTATACTCACGCTTGATTTCATTAGGAATGTGTGGTTCAAGTATTACACTAAGATTAGCTAAGAGAGCTCAAGATGCACCTATCGACCCACCCAAATATCTAGGCATGGGATTGTGTGATTTTGTCAGTAAATCTTCGAAGCTAGGTGTCCCTACTAATGATTGGGGTATTATAGGGTCTGAATTGAAAGCATTATTTAGGATGGTTAATGTTCCTGTTAAAGAGCTACGCGGTATTGCTATTACTATGAATAAGCTTGAGGATGTTGAAAACCTAAAAAAGATAAGGCAGATGAGATTACCATTCAATCAAGTAAAACAAATTAAATTCAATGAAAGAAATAGATCACCTAAAAAACAACCCCTAAAAAGGTATTGTGATCCATTGGAAAATACGAATATTGACTGGGAAGTATTCAACGAATTGCCTGAGGATATAAAACAAGAGTTACAATCTGAGCTTTCACGGCGTGGTATTTCTAGAAAGAACGCTCAGCTTATCGAATCAAAAACGAGTCCAAAAAAAGAAGAGATATCTATTGTTTCTGATAATAAAAAACCGAAAGCATATTTGCAGCAATTAATACCTACTCAATTAAACGGGCCTCCCAAGTATGTTCGGGTTATAGAATCGCCCACGAAGTCACCGTCGAAGTCACCTAGAAAGAGGAAAAAAATGTCAGCATCACCGTCCCCTGTGAAGAAGCAAATGCCAAAAGCTTATAATGATTCTGGATCGTACGATGAATCAGTTTTGAATGAATTACCGTCATCTATTAAAACAGCTGTCTTGAAAGACTTAGAGTATAAAAATAAAATTAAGGACTTTGATTTGACGCCTATGAAGGAGAAGATGAATAAGAAAAATAAGAAAAAGAATAGTGCCGGCCAATTCAATATCAATCAAAAGTGGATTTCGACGCAACCAAAGTTGATAAATGCCCCACAATTTCTTAACCAACAAAGCTCGTTTTATGACATTAGCAAGTCTATAGAGGGATGGGTTTGCATGTCATTAAATCAAGGTGGGCCACATTTAGCCGATGTTCAAATTTTTACGGATTATTTAAGAGAACTACTAAAACAAGACAATCTAAGTAGATGCCTAAATTTGATCAAATGCTTACGCTGCAACCTAGAATATCAAAATTCTATACAAAACGTAAGGTCAAGCACACAGAATAGTGAACTGCTAGTAAAATTAGGAATCAATGACTGGAATACTGTAATAACTAAATACATTGTTCCGGTAATTAATGAATACTGTACTCAGAATTATATAGATACGATAATTTAATGGACGCGAAATTTATGTTAGATCAAATTACAGATTTTTTAATAATGTTATCCGAAATTGAGCCCAATGCCAATGAACCTACAGACTTAACAATAGCAAGAAAGGTATGGATCACATCATCTGAGCTGCTATCTGAGATAGTCGACTTACTTCCATCAAATAAGGGTAGACTGTCGTTAGTGACATCTTTAATCAAAGCTTACGGATTAGACAGCAAATGTGAAGATATAATTGGCGTAGGACGAGTTAGAAGACATGATTTAGAATCTTTTCACGGAAAGCAATTTCTATCTATATTACTAAAGAATAGGCCAAGCATTGACGTTGATCATGTTGAATTGGAGAAAATACGGGAGACTTTACAAATTAGAGAATACAAAGACATACCCAAGACCCCAGGTACAGCACCTAAAGAACATATCGACATAATAAAATTGGGAGATGAGCTTGGGGATAAGTATAATAAGAATCAAATAAATGACATAAGTGATAGCGATCTGGAGTTAAGCGAGATCAATGATGAAATAATCTTGGTCGAACATAAAGAACAGGAAGAAGATAATACAGAGCTTGAAAATTTCGGATTAACGCACGATTGCTATATATTTCCTTTTATGGCAGAATATGTAAATTTAGTTGCTGCATCAAGTATTCACTCAGCGAGTAGGTTAACTAAGGAAAGGAAAGAAAGTGTACAGAATGTGGTGATAAATTGGTATGGCGGGAGGCATCACTGCAAAAAAAACAAAGCAGCAGGTTTCTGTTATATAAATGATATTGTACTATCAATTAATATTTTACGTCGTAATTATAGAAGAATATTTTACCTTGATTTAGATTTACATCATGGAGATGGAGTTGAATCTGCCTTTGAATTTTCTAAAAACGTTATGACTTGTTCAATTCATAGGTACGATATCGGTTTTTATCCAGGAACGGGATCCTTGTCAAGTACACAGAAAACAAAAGTTAATATACCTGTAATGAGAGGGTTGAGTGATGGTAGCATGTTACGAATCGTGAAAGATATAGTTCTTCCACTTATCATGAACTTTGGACCTGATGCATTGGTGATTCAGGCTGGCTGCGACGGCCTATCAACAGATGAACATAAAGAATGGAATATGACAATAAAGGGCTACGGAAAGGTGTTACGCCTTCTATTGAACAGTGTTGCTAATACACCGGTCATGATATTAGGGGGAGGGGGGTATAATCATTCAGAAACCGCAAAGTGTTGGACTTATCTTACTAGCATCGCCCTTAGATTAGAAAAATTGAGTGATGAATGGGATTTGATTCCTGACCATAAATACCTTGATGCTTATCAGAATTGTGGTTTTCAATTTTGGACAAATGAAAATTTAAATTCTACAAAATTAATGAAAGATGAAAATGATAATGAATATGTTGCAAAAATTAAAGCTTATATTCTAGATAAATGTATATAGAGTGTTCAATCAGTCGCGTATTCAAAAAGCCTTCCTAATTTATCATTCCAATTCTCTTCCCATCTGAGCTTGCTCTCTTTTAATGCACCTTGTTTAATTCTATCTAATAAGTCTTCGTTTGTGAATGCTTCGGTTAACAATCTATAAATTTCCTGAGATTCATTTACACTCGAATCCTTATCTGATTTAGTAATTAATCCATTCGTTCCGTGTTTTACTAATTCTCCAATGGCAGGAAAATATAAGGTTATAACAGGAATGCCACAGCCAAAAAAATCCACAATTTTCATTGGCAAGTCAATACCACTAGAAGATGTATGTAGAGAAATGCTTAGGTCAGCTACAGATAAAACCAAAGGGTAATCTTCTGATGAAAGCCATGCATTTTTAATAATGACATTATCCAGGAAGTTCAATTGCTTTACCTTTTGCAAGAATTGGTTCTTTAAAGGTCCCTTACCCGTAATTATGATTAGAATTGGCGGCAATTTTCTTTCAACCAAAGATTTATCATATTGGTCTAGTGCATTCAAGAGTAAATTAAAGTCTTCATCAGGGGTGAATGATGTTGAACTGACCAAAATTTTGTAATTAGAAATATTATGTATACCTTTAAATATATCATGAGATTCTAAAATATCCTGCTTCGTTAGGGACAACTCCTTCAACGGCTTAAATTGCTCTCCAGGTCTATCATGTAGGGTAATTATCCTTTTCTTGGTAAAATTAAACTCCTTTATTAGAAATTCTTTCATTTGCTTAGTAACAGTAATATTATAATCTGCAAATTGCCCCAAAACTCTTTCATAGATCTTTAAAATTCTTACCAACGGATGCTTTAAATTCTGAAACTTCAAGTTCAATATAGTGTAATTCAAATTATGCCAATCAATTATTAATTCCGTTCTTCTACTAAATACTTTTATGTATGCCAATACAATTAAAAGAATTGGAATTGAAGGTGGATTTTGAATCAAAATATAGTCTGTACCACGAAAATCCAGCAATAACTTCAATAATTGGACAAACTGAACTACCATCTTCTTTGCAGCAAACAAAACAAACGGTAAATTCGTAGTATTTTTGGTAACAGTAATAGGATATATATCAATATTTATGTCATCAATAATGTCAAATGGTGGCTGTTCTTCTAAATATCCACACAAGTTAACATAGTAATCTAGTCTGGAGAACGACCTTGCATGATAACACATCCTTGGAGAATGTCCCAAATCGCCCAAAACAAATATAGAGACGGTCTTCCTTTTACCTGAAATAGTGCCACTCAATGTTAAATATGGTAATAAAATGTAAGCCAACACTGGAAGACAAAGGTAAAATCCTACCAACCACCATAACCACGGACCAGAATATTTGAAAACATGGTCAAAACCTTTATATTTAATGAATTGAAACTCTTCCATAGTGAATGACAGCCAAAAAAAAGAGGAATCGAAGTAGCTTTCAGTAGTAGCTTTAGCTATCCGTTGAGTAGATTTAGAAAAAAATAACGACACAAGCAGGACTCGAACCTGCGCGGGAAAATCCCAAAAGATTTCAAGTCTTTCGCCTTAACCGCTCGGCCATTGTGCCTAATATGAGATAAAAATTGAATGTTAGCTTTTAAGAAATGTTAATTAATGAATCGTCCAATTCTAACTTGTTCACTGTGTTCACTATTGCGTAGCAATAAAATTTTTCTACACGAGTATACTGTTAATTCTCTAATTCTATAATAAGAACACTCAAAGTACCAATGGCTCAAGAATTAACTCACCCTTCCATCAAAGATGGATGGTTCGCCGAAATTTCCAACACAATGTGGCCTGGACAAGCTATGTCGTTGAAAGTTGAAAAAGTATTACATGTTGAAAAATCAAAGTACCAAGACGTCTTAGTTTTCAAATCTACTGACTACGGTAACGTTTTAGTCTTGGATGACTGTATCCAATGTACTGAAAGAGATGAATTTTCTTATCAAGAAATGATCACTCACTTGGCTCTTAACTCTCACCCTAACCCAAAGAAGGCTTTGGTCATTGGTGGTGGAGATGGTGGTGTTTTGAGAGAAATCTTGAAGCACGAGTCAATTGAAGAAGCCTGGTTATGTGACATTGATGAAACAGTTATTGAAGTTTCGAAGAAATTCTTGCCGGAAATGTCTCAGTCTTACAAGGACCCAAGAACCAAGGTTCATATTGGAGATGGTTTCAAATTCTTGGCTGAATACAAGAACCAATTCGATGTTATTATCACTGACTCTTCTGACCCAGAAGGTCCAGCTGAATCCTTGTTTCAAAAGCCATACTTCAGATTATTGAAGGATGCTTTAACTGAAAAAGGTATTATCACTACTCAAGCCGAAAACATCTGGTTACATATGGACATTATTTCGAGATTGAAGAAAGATTGTAAAGAAATCTTCCCAGTTGCCGAATATGGTTACACTATGATCCCAACTTATCCATCTGGTTCAATTGGTTTCATGGTTTGTTCTAAGGATCCAAATGCTAACGTTACTAAACCAGTCAGATTCGATTGGGATGATGAATTCGTTAGAAAGAACTTGAAATATTATAACAAGAAGATTCACGAAGCCTGTTTCGTTTTGCCTACATGGGCTGATGAAAAGTTGAACAAGCAAGATTGACGTTCTCATTTGACTAAAAATTATTTAATGATGAAATGATTGACAAGTTGAGTAAGAATGGTTTTATAGGAATTAATTGGGACAAACTTCTGAATTAATTAAAATAGCTATTGTTCAATACACATGTAGAATGTAGATTTACTCAACTTAGCCTCACCGGTCAAGAGTGAGCTTTTTTATTTTTTGGTTAAGAATCTATTTTGCTGCAAAATTAATGATCAAACCTGAAATCCAAACGCTTGTTACCAACATCACTTGTATTATTAATATAATCTTCTTGCTGCTCAAGTGTCATTTTGTTCCAAATAATATCTCTAGATTTGTTTCTATAAACGTAATAAAGCTTGACCAATAGTAGTATTGGAAACATCAGAATTGCAAATTTAAATAGCGTTTGGTTACCTCTATGGTAAAGTGGTGCATCATCTTTCCTGTAAATATTATATGAAATAATGCTACCCATTTGAACTGACATGTTGTAAAGGGCAGATGCAATTGTCCTGGTCTTGATACTGTTTGAATTTCTTGACACCCAAGAAACACAGATTGCGTGAATATAGGGACCACCTAAGAAGAGTGTACATAGCAACCAGGTTCCCCATACATTCACCATGCTTCCACTCCACCACCGTAAGAGAGCAAGCAGAGGTATAGACCATATAGGTAAAATCAAACAAACTAATGCCCTTTCGTTTATAGCTTCAGAGATCCATGTTATCATCAAAAGCATGATTATGTGTAAAATGCTATATGGAATGGTTAATAAGTTCACATTGAACGTTGAAAATCCTAATTGTTTTAAAGTTAGGGTTAAGTAAGGGGATAATGCTCCCGTAGGAATATATGCAATGAGACCAATGACGTATATGGGCCATAAATCGTAGTCACTTAGTGTATCTAAAATAGCTTTAAAACTTAAACCCTGTCTATTATGCATATCCCCCTTCGATGGATCGTCTCTCAAAACACGATTCACAACAATCTTTACCTCTCGATCAGAAAACCAACCTTTTGGATGAAAACTATTCTTGGTTTGAGTTGCCGATGGTACCATCAAAAAAAGGAGATTAAGCCAATGCAAAAAGTACATAATCCCTCCAATATAAACAACCAACGCCATCCTGCTAATTGAAATACTCCACGCATTCGTAATATTCCAAATGCTAGAATGGAAGTAAAAATCTGTACGCAAGATAAAGTAGTCCAGAACCACGAAAGTCTGATAGGCAATTCCTTGGCTTTGTAAAAATAAGTGAGCCAAAGAACAATATCTGCGATAAACCCCCCTTCTAGCATTCCAATTAATCCTCTGGTTAAATAGAATGATAGCTTTCCCTTTATTATACCCTGTGACATAGCAACAACACTCCATGTTACAATTTGGATTGGAATAAATATATCGGGACCTAGTGCTTTCGAGATTAATTGTGAAGGTAATTCTGCCAACAAGAAGCACACCAAAAAAATAGTATTCCCTGTATTGTAGTTATTCGTATCTAGACCCAAATCGTCAAGCATGTTGTCAGATACAGCCTGTCCAAGGTTACCTCTATCTATCTGTAACCCTGCAAATAGGATACATGCAGTTAATGCAACCCGATAGTCTAGCTTACGTATAATGTTATCTTCTTCGGATTTACTCCACTCAAACAACGGATCAAAGGCATCTCTACATTCGTACCCTGCTTTTTCATAGACCTCTTTATAGTACTCAGCAACAATCGGATCTGCAAATGGATTCTCTTGAGTCAGGAGGATGTCATTTTGATCTGTCGAGCCATATGCGAGATCAAGCGACAATTCACTAACAGCTTCATAAGAAATATTATAGGCATTTTTCTTACCAGACATAATAAAATTAAAACGATTAGTTCTTTAGGATATTTCTCTTAAGCAATATTCATTATAATTTATACATCTTATAATATACTTGCGTAGCTGAATACAAGCTAGGGGTTCCATAGTAACAACAGTGGCACTGTGGCCCCATGTGACAATAATAGTATTTTCGCAACCACAACGCAAAATAATTATAATGCTTTCACTGGTGAATAAATATATGCTTCCATAGATACCCGACTAGGTGTCTATACTACGCTGATTAGATAATATCAGGATCACTGAAGAGAAAAAAATAGGTATAATAGCGCTATTGCATCATTTAAAATAGACACGATTAAAAGGAGCATAAGAGAAGTAACACCCAAAAAGATTAAAAAGGGATATTGTTGTTCTAAGTCAATGCAATTATATGCATCCTCCTGAACTCGTTATCTATATAGTAAACATCAAAAATGGAACCTAAGTGTTTTCTATTTCACATTGATTCTGCAAGTTCCTACTGGCATCGAGTTGTGGCCGATCTCATCATGTGATCCATTATGATAATGAGAAAAAGCGCTTTACATTAGTAAGTAATATAGTAGATATAAGAAGCAATGCACCAATGTCCTTCGTCAAGGGAAGACTCACTGATGAACAGAAAACACGAATAGTATGTGTGATATAAAATAAAATAAAAATTTGAGGTAATGGCATACTAACAGAATTAGGAAGCAAACAGACAGAGGGCCTTAGAGAGGCTAGGAAAGAACAAGCCTTCCACACTGACATCCTCGTCACAGAAAGTTCAACAAACTTCAACCCCGAATATTTCCTCTGGAAATGATAACGGCAAAAAACAACCATCAAATGAAGGCTTGATTAAATCATTCGACCAGATTAGGAATTCTAATATGGATCCGATGTCTGGTGCATTCAATCAAAGTGAACAAGCATCGAAACGGCCAAGAATAGAATTAACGCCCGAGCAGAGGCGACGAATAGATGAAAATAGAAAGCGGGCTTTGGAGATACAAAAAGAGAAACATAAGAATAATCGTGAAGCAACCAAGACGTATCTGGACCCGGTACCTGTGTCGAATAACGTGAGGCTTAATAAGGAGAAAATTGCTAAACCAACTGAAGGAGGTATTAAGGCGTCTATAAAGAAGGCAGATTATATTGAGTATGACTTTGCTACCATGAAGGATACAAGGGGTGGGTTTATATCACTAGAAGATGCCCCGAACCCTCTTTCTGCAAATACTGACAGCAAAACCCTAGAAGAATGGAAGGAGAGGCAGAAACAACAACATGTGGTACGAGACTTGGCGCCTCCTTTGGATATATCGCAAGCTCCCAAATGCTACGAATGCTCATCACTAGAAATCGACCCTAATCTCTATCTGAATTTTAACCAAGTAAGGGTATGCCGACCATGCCAGAAAAAAATGCCAGAAAAATATTCTCTTTTAACCAAGACCGAATGTCGTGAAGATTATTTACTCACAGACCCAGAGCTCAAAGACACATCATTACTTCCGCGGATTGAAAAGCCTAATCCCCATGGGTTTTCCCGTATGCAGCTATTCCTACGTTTCCAGGTAGAGGAATTCGCCTGGAAGAAATGGGGCTCTTCAGAAGGGTTGGATAAAGAATGGGAGAGGAGAGAGGCCATGCGAATCCAGAGACGCGACAAAAAGTACAACGAGAAAATCACCGAAATGCGTAAAAAGACCAGAGCAGAAGAATACACAAGAAAGCTTCGTAACGGCGAGGCCTTAGGCGAGCGTCATGTCCACGACTGGTCAGCGCCTTTGGCGGTGCCAGGCGATCTCCATACCGTCAAAAGAAGATGCATAGATTGTGGTCTCGAGACTGAAGAAATATTAATGTGAGTCCCTTTCGACACGCAGATCCTTTTGCGCATAACATACATCTGGTGGCGATTTCACCTGTCATATCGATTACCTCTTAATTCCATACCCGGTTATATCATTTATACCTTCGATTATCTAATAAGAACCGTAAGCATATTTTGCATCCATCCTGGCCAGAGACTCACTCTATGTAATGGATACAACGATACTTTTGCCAATATCTGCTGTAGAATTCTCTATTTTAACTTCATCCCCTGAATCCCAAATCCTTCATATTTGCCACCACCACCCCCACTCACTATGGGATCTACATGGAACAATAGAACCGATTCAGTAGTGGTTGCAGCATCTTTAAAATTCGGTCGCGCGCAAACCACTAATTAATGGAAGCTCGTAGAAGTTTCCACCACGATTTTGTTCGACGACCATTTGCAGCATTGTGAGGATATTTAATAAAGAGAATTCCATTTCAAAAAATCAGTACTTTCTTTTACACTAAGTTAAACAAGCTTATACTTTCACAGGCTCAAGTTAAATAGATACACGAAAATGTCTGACGCTAAAGTTGAAACTCATGAATTCACCGCTGAGATTTCTCAGTTGATGTCTTTGATCATTAACACCGTTTATTCCAATAAGGAAATTTTCTTAAGAGAATTGATTTCTAATGCTTCTGATGCTTTGGATAAGATCAGATACGAAGCATTGGCTGATCCAAGCAAGTTGGAAACCGAACCAGAATTATTCATCAGACTTACCCCAAGACCAGAACAAAAAGTTTTGGAAATCAGAGATACTGGTATTGGTATGACCAAGGCCGACTTAGTTAACAACTTAGGTACTATCGCTAAGTCTGGTACCAAGGCTTTTATGGAAGCTTTATCAGCTGGTGCCGATGTTTCTATGATTGGTCAATTCGGTGTTGGTTTCTACTCTTTATTCTTGGTTGCTGACCACGTTCAAGTTATCACCAAGCACAACGACGACGAACAATATATCTGGGAATCCAACGCTGGTGGTAAGTTCACTGTCACTTTGGATGAAGTCAACCCAAAGATTGGCCGTGGTACCGTCTTGAGATTATTCTTGAAGGAAGACCAATTGGAATACTTGGAAGAAAAGAGAATTAAGGAAGTTGTCAAGAGACACTCTGAATTCGTTTCATACCCAGTCCAATTAGTCGTCACCAAGGAAGTCGAAAAGGAAGTTCCAGAAGAAAAGGAAGACGAAGAAGAAGTTAAAGAAGGTGAAGACAAGAAGCCAAAGGTCGAAGAAGTTGACGAAGAAGGCGAAGAAAAGAAGAAGGAAACCAAAAAGATCACCGAAAAGGTCACTGAAACCGAAGAATTGAACAAGACCAAGCCTTTGTGGACTAGAAACCCATCTGATGTCACTCAAGATGAATACAATGCTTTCTACAAGTCCATCTCCAACGACTGGGAAGACCCATTAGCTGTCAAGCACTTCTCTGTTGAAGGTCAATTAGAATTCAGAGCCATCTTATTCGTTCCAAAGAGAGCTCCATTCGATGCCTTCGAATCTAAGAAGAAGAAGAACAACATCAAGTTGTACGTCCGTCGTGTTTTCATCACTGACGAAGCTGAAGAATTAATCCCAGAATGGTTAAGTTTCGTTAGAGGTGTTGTTGACTCTGAAGATTTACCATTAAACTTATCCAGAGAAATGTTACAACAAAACAAGATTTTGAAGGTTATCAAGAAGAACATTGTTAAGAAGTTAATCGAAACCTTCAATGACATTGCTGAAGACCAAGAACAATTCGAAAAGTTCTACACCGCTTTCTCTAAAAACATTAAGTTAGGTATTCACGAAGATCAACAAAACAGAACCGCATTATCTAAGTTATTGAGATACAACTCTACTAAATCTGCCGAAGAATTAACTTCTTTATCTGACTACGTCACCCGTATGCCAGAACACCAAAAGAACATTTACTACATTACTGGTGAATCTATTAAGTCTGTTGAAAAGTCTCCATTCTTAGACGCTTTGAAGGCTAAGAACTTCGAAGTTTTGTTCTTAGTTGACCCAATTGATGAATACGCTATGACTCAATTAAAGGAATTCGAAGACAAGAAGTTAGTTGATATCACTAAGGACTTCGACTTAGAAGAAAGTGAAGAAGAAAAGAAACAAAGAGAAAAGGAAATCGAAGAATACGAACCATTAACTAAGGCATTAAAGGAAATCTTAGGTGACCAAGTTGAAAAGGTTGTTCTTTCTCACAAATTAGTTGATGCCCCTGCTGCTATCAGAACTGGTCAATTCGGTTGGTCTGCTAATATGGAAAGAATCATGAAGGCTCAAGCTTTGAGAGACACCACTATGTCTTCTTACATGTCTTCCAAGAAAACTTTCGAAATCTCTCCAAGATCTTCTATTATTAAGGAATTAAGAAAGAAGGTTGAAGCTGACGGTGCCGAAGATAAGACTGTCAAGGACTTGACTACCTTATTATACGAAACCGCTTTGTTGACTTCTGGTTTCTCCTTAGAAGAACCAAGCTCTTTCGCTGGTAGAATTAACAGATTGATCTCTTTAGGTTTAAACATTGATGAAGAAGAAGAAGTTGAAGAAGTCGGTACTTCTACTAGTACTACCACTGATGAACCTGCTGTTGAATCTGCTATGGAAGAAGTTGATTAAATGGGTTCAGGTAATATTTTAATATATTTTTATTCTATTTGGCTATTTATGTTATTTCATATAATTTAGGCTTGTTTATACGTGCAATATAGTCCCATATATAACTGGGGGTATTAGCTTAAAAAATTGATGTTATGGAGTTTGAATTCATTAATTGTAGGATATTTATATTAATTATACATGTTGACTATGTAATTTTAAGATGTTTATAGTTATCATCTGTTTCCAATAGACTGATTGCTAGTTGAACTAACTCATCTATAGTGTCCAATACTATCTGCGCTTGTTCTCTCGCAAGTAAATCATTATCTGTTTCTAAGATATATTTCAATGTATTAGAAACTTTTTCTCTGTACTCTTTAGGAAACTCCACTCTTTCGGAATTTGAAGTTCCTATAATCAAATCGTGAATTAGAACAACTGCACATCTTCTCATTATTGCACTATCTTTGTCAGTTTCTAATTGCAAAATACCTATAGCACAACTTAAAGCATCGTCTAGATTCCCGATTATACCAATGGGATTGACTTTACAGCATGTTCCTAATAAAGACATAGCCGACATACGAAGTCTGTCATCTTCTTTATCTGAATCATTAAGAGGTCTTCTAATCAAGTGAAGCATTGAATCAGCAATAATCTCGGCGGATTCTCCTGAAAATAATTCATTAGAACTTTCAATATACCGCAATAATACTTCACCAATTTTAAGTCTTTCATCTAAGTCATTATCATTTTTCTCATTGACGTAGATGCTTGTTAATATTCTCAAAACTTCTGTTTCATTCCATTCAATCAAAGATTGGAGACCCTTAATAACATTTAAATAAATAAATGGCTCTGGATCTTTCAATTGAATCAAATGCAAATTTATGACAAAATCCAATGAGATCACTTCACTTTTAGATTCCACTAATTGTCTCAATAAGTATAGACCGTGTGCACGGATTGGTACTAGCGGGTCATTCAAACTCGTTATTGCCCTTGCTAGAGTTTTTGAATGTAAATCCTTTGTTGAGATTGGTGGTTTTTCCCCCTCTAAAAGTAATTTGATTCTATCATGTAAAGATTTCGATCCATTAACCGCCGACTGCGATATATTAGACGGATTTTCGTTAACTCTTTCCAAGAGCTTAACAATTTCCTTAAGGAGTTTATGACAGGCTTCATCCAAGTCTGTAGCTGAAGATTCAGATAAAATGGCCGATAATAACTCCAAGACTACAGGAAAAGACTGCTGCAATAATTCGTTATCTTGGTCAAAATCCTCTTCATCATCAGAATCTTCATCGTCAGAATCTGCAGTATCTACCACCAAGTCTATATTTTTCACTTTATTATTTTCCTGCTTCCCTTTTCCCTGAAGCATAAGAATATTCTTTACAATTTCAAGCATTTCAAATGGAGTCTTCGCGAGGGATTCTTTGAACTTACTACCAATATTCTCTAGCAAACGCAAATCTACTAGCATAAAAAAAGGATTTTCATCAACATCATTACCTAAAGTAGAACTCAGATTATTGATTTTAAACCATCTTTTCAAAATGTTTATGAATAATTTCAGAATTAAATCGTCATCAATATCCTTTAAAAAATCTGTGAAATATTCACAATTTGAGTCTAAATTCCCCAAAAATTTGTTTATTTTATTATCCTTTGAGTCAGAATTTGTAACAAATTCTTGATTTTTCCTGACAATTTCAACCAAACCATTTTTGCCCATTTGATATTTCCATGTCTCTCCTTCGTCAAAAAGAATATTTTTGGCTATGGAATCAAGGCCAAATATATCATCGTCGAGCTTTGATAAATCTTTCATTACCGTGAAATAACCAACGAGAATGCTCATTATGACCTCGGCTGATTTTGAATGCTTTCTTAGAAACACATAATATGACCAAACAGGTAACAATATAGGATTGAATAATGCTGATAATAAGTCAGAAGATAAACCCTTTTTTGTTAATGAAATTAAAACATTGATGTTATTATTCAACTGTGCTTCACTTACTAATATTTCTGACCCGTGACTGTCTTCAGGATTGAACTTTTGCCATATTATCTTCAAAATGAAATCACGAACAACTGATTTGTTCTTATTCCATAGTTTCTCCAACACATATCCAATACAGCTTGTTACGACCGGCCTATTTATCAAAACCAATAAGTCATAACATTGCAGACCAATATTAGTAAAGTAATCAACGGTATTAATCGATTTGGGTTTTGTCAATACCACATTAGCAACATGATCAAATTTTTCTACATTTACCTCATCGTTTTCTCTCAATCCAAGAACGAATTCGACTAGAGTCAATAAACCATCTCTTTTCGGAGCATCATAGTGTAATGTTTGCAATCTCGCCATAACAAACTGCTTAAAGAAAGAGGGTGATGGAGTAGTCAAGAGTAAAGTGTAAGTTTGGAATAATTCGTAAGTTTCTGGAATAGCTGATATTGTATTATCATATTCAGTCAAGTACACTGGTTTTTTGTCCTCGCTAAAGTAGGGTGAAGTTATTAACGTGATGGCGACAGTAAGAAAATCTGAAAACCCAGTTCCCTTTATTAATAAATCTTTGACATCTGAATCCACTGAAAAGACCTTCATAAATTTACTATATACAAGAGTCAAAAGCTTTTCATGATATTCATATTTCTTAGATGCTTCTGTCAGGTTTGGGAGCTTTTCTATTATTCTGGGTTTCTTATTTTTTGAAAAATCGTTCAATAATCTCTTTTCAAATGGAACCCCTATTCTGAACGTATTTAATGCTGGATAAATTCCATATTCAATGATTAAATTGACCAATTTACTGAACGTCTTGATATCATGCAACGAGATTTTTATTAAGTTTTTATCATCTAAATTCCGAATATTGGCTTCTGAAAGCTGTTGTATCTGTATCAAATACTCAAACATTTTTTCAGTAACCTTGTATCTTTTTAAAAACTCTTCGTTTCCACTTTCTGTTATCCCATGTCCAATGATTCTTTCATAAAGTATATTTAGGGTGAAATCCTCCACGGATCCATTCAATTTCTCCTCTATTTCTGAGAATAATACATCAATCGCAGATTTGCTTTGATACTGAGGCGTATGTAAACCTTTTCGTGGTTCTTTTGATCCATAGACATCCTTAGCTTCTCTTCGAATGGTAGTCTTTTTTTTCTGGCTTTCAAATGGGTTCTTTTTCGGTTTAGCATCTTCTTTATTAGGAGAGATCTCCTCAATCTTTGGCGCCATTATATACCATCAATACTCTTAAATTGTTAGAAATTCTTGATGAATTTGCCGCTATAATCTATGTATAAATCAAATTCATATTGAAGTACGGTATATGCAGTGCAGTTTTTCAATTTTTTTTTTTGCATCGCATAGAGAACGATAAGATGGACTTAAATATAGAATTAGAGCTACATAAAACGTTATCTTTAGAGTAAAGTTCAAGGTGGGAAATATACGTAGCTAGAGAATAAGAAAATTATAATCAACATGTCAACTGAAGCGGAAAAAATCACGTCTCTTAGCCAAGAAGAAATGGACTGCATCATCTACGATGCCAGAGAAGGGGACTTGGAAACGTTGAAGGAAGTTTTTGAGGAGATTCCAAAAAGCCTCTTATTATCCATCAAGGACGACATAACATTAAGTACTCCAATACACATGGCAGCAGCTAACGGACATTTTGAGGTCGTAAAATACTTATTATCCATTATTCCTAAAAAAGATGCAGAAACCTTGGCTTCACAACAAAATGAAAGTGGTAATACGCCCTTGCACTGGGCTGCCTACAATGGTCATTTACTGATTGTGCAACTCTTGTGTGAAGAATACAATGTAGATGTGTTTGTCAAAAACGGGTCTGGCCATGACGTAATGTACGAAGCTGAAAATAACGGCCAAGAAGAAATCGAGAATTGGTTATTGAAGAAGTACGCTGTTGAAGACAACTTCACGGTTGATGAAAATGATGATGAAACCAAAATCACATACAAGCCTGGTACTGAGAGTAAGGAAGCAGATGATAGAGCGAACGCAGTTGCCAGCTCAACCACCGACGAAATAGAAAAAAAAGTCAGTGACTTGAGCATTAATTAACCGTATTCAATGGCATACCGTGTATATTAATATAGAACCAATATAATAAACTATCATATTTTGCAATATTTAGGTCTGGAGTTGGGCCCTATACTAGTAGTAAAAAGGTCGTGCGAGTACGCGAACGACTCACTTGAAATTTTTTCACTCTAAGTAGTGTTCAGTTTGTATTACATAGCATAACTAAGTATAGGCTTATATTGCATTTATTATCTATAACTACTAATATGAGTGATTTAGGGTTTGATCCTAGTTTGAAAAAGAAGAAGAAGTCAAAGAAGCCAGAAGATTCTTCTGCTACCGCCACAGAATCTCCAGCACCTTCCAGTGACGTTGATGATATGTTTGCGGGTTTAAAGAAGAAGAAGAAGTCTAAGAAAGCAGTTGATGGATCAGAAAGTAACGAACAATCCAACTCGCCAGTTCCAGACGATTTGAGTGCATCATTAGGCGACCTTACATTGAAAAAGAAGAAAAAGAAGGCTATCAAGAGTCTGGATGCCGCTGATTTCGAACAACAATTAGAACAAGCAGGGCTTGAAGATATAGCACCAACTTCATCGAAGACTGAAAGTACTACTTCTGCTACAGAAGTTGTTGGTGGATTACCATACGAAGATTTGTTATCTCGTTTCTTTTCCATCTTAAAGAAAAACAACCCGGAATTGGCTGGGGACAGAAGTGGACCAAAATTCCGTATTCCACCACCAGTTTGTCAAAGAGAAGGTTCCAAGAAGACCTTATTTGCAAATGTTCAAGAAATTGCTACTGTTTTACAAAGAAACCCAGAACACTTGATACAATTTTTGTTCGCAGAATTGGGTACCTCTGGTTCTATTGATGGTGAAAAGAGATTGGTGCTAAAGGGTAAGTTCCAACCAAAGCAAATGGAATCAGTTTTGAGAAGATATATCATAGAATACGTCACTTGTAAGACTTGTAAGTCTATGAATACTGAATTGAAGAGAGAATCTGCTAATAGATTGCACTTCTTGAGCTGTAATGCATGTGGATCCACTAGATCAGTCTCTTCTATTAAGACCGGTTTCCAAGCCCAAATCGGTAGAAGAAAGAGAGTATGAGGAGTTGGGGTTTACACATATATTCATCTGCAATAGGTATATAGCTTTTTTTTATTGTCTCTATGTATAATAATAATAAACCATCTTATTTAAGTATTTATTTTCAACCCTTCAATAGTCTTTTTTAATGGAGCACACCAACTACTTACCCCTTGGTTAGCCATCATATACGTCAAGATTTCCTGCTTGATACTGGCTATTGACTTGCTGTCTCTGTCAGATGAAACTTTGAGCACTTTAACAAGAATATCGCCCAAAAAAATCTTATCATTTCCGTTTAATGAACTAACCACATTCCCTAGCTTATTCTGATAGTATTTTATTTCATTCTCCTGTAACATTGTAGGATGTCGCAACACTTCATCCAACATGGTATTAAGAGTTGTATCATCGACTTCATCAACATGATCTTTACTATCTAATGGGATATTAGTTGGCTTGAGATCTCTCTGCAAATTTATAGAAGATGTCAGGTTTCTTGTCGGTATTGGAGGTATTGGTGGAGGTATGCCAACTGGGGTTGCTGATGGACTTGGTATTGGGGTTCCATCTATGTTGTGACCCACCCTCCTCGGAGGTCTCTTTCTAGAGGTTCTACTGGACCCGGAATTAAGACTCGACGTAGAGCTACTACTAGGGATATAAACAGGACAATCGTTCCAACCCTCAATAGATTCACCTCTTTGGTATTTCGTTAAAGTCATTTCTTTTTTTCGTAAAAATTAAAATAAATGAAGTTTGTAAAATTAAAGCTTGTAAACCATCTGTATATTATTGCAATGATCAATATAAACTATTAATACTATTGTACGTTATCATTCATGTTTATTATTTAAGTAATGAACAAATCACTAATATTTATTGTTCTATATTTTCACGTGATTATTATGACCTCTTATTGACGTCTTGTCAACTCCAATGCTTTATCCAATAATTCGTCTACAGAGGGCCTCTTCTGACTGTCTAAGACTAGACAGTCTTTTATCAATGATATCAACTCATCCGAGTATCCCTTATTATCCTGTGGTATGGAGTAGTTACCTTGCGAAATAGCCAAATTCAAGTTTGCACCCTGTTCTATTTCCAATTTTTCGAACGGTGAAAAACCGAAGCAACACGCGTATAACAAACACCCTAAAGACCATATATCCGTTTTTTCAGTAATCTCAGTATTAGTGGCTACATCAAGTAACTCTGGTGCTCTATATGGAAGCGTGCAATGCTCTTGAGCAAAGTCAGTAAGAGTCAAGGCCTGTTGACGGTTCTTTATAAACAATTTAGCCTTTGAGCATGATCCTAAGTCGACCAATACGGGCAACCCCTCAGCCGATAACATAACATTGGCTGGCTTGATATCTCTATGGGCAAAGGGTGTAAGCTCTTGTAATTCGGTGCCATTAGATGTGCTCACGCCGTCTTCATCGTCACTTGCTGCTGGCAAAAGTAAGTCTTCCTCTTCGTCTTCATTTTCTGTGTTGTGATTGCGTCCTGTTTTCTTGAACTTGTGCATGGCTTGTAGCCCTCTGCATACACCAATAAATATTTTCAATATTTCGTCCTCGTCTATTGTTATATCATTCAACACATTGTATGTAATAATATCCTGTAAAGACTTTTCAAAGTACGGCAAAAGAATATAGATAGTCTTTGATCCGTCATTCTCGTTGATGATGGTTTCGTCTATAGATTGGATAATATATGGAGTCTTGGAATTTGAAAACCGGTGATAATTCTTAATTTCTTTCATAGCGTTCTTGAAGGTTTCGTCATCCGAGCCGAATGGACACCTTATTTTCTTAAGTGCATACTGTGAATTGTTGTTTGACTTGTGAGATACTAAATAGACATACGAGAAACCCCCCTCACCCAATAATCGAACTATTTTATATTTTGCGTTGTTTATTGACACGTAAGGAGTCGATAAATCTGGAAAACAAGGTAAACACTTACTAAATATAGTCAATAATGTCTCCATGGTCAATTGGTACAGATAAGTAGCTAGTTCTTTATAAAGAGAATCATACCTTTAATGGTATTTTGTCATTCTGCGTGCGACTTTTTTTGGTGATAACTAGGAAACCAATTAGTCCATTAATTCGATAAAGCTTGAATCTAAGAGAGTGTATAAGATAGGATGAGTTCGCCAAAAGCACTGTCACCAAAAATCAAGACGCCGAGAGAACTGAGCCCGTCGGCTGAAGATAGAATGAAAAAGAGCAGCTCATCTAATAAAGTCAACTCAGAGACAAGGGTGGCTAGGTCAGCATCTCCAGACGTAACTTCCAAGGATGCCATGGATATTGACAGCGAGGAAAACAATCTACAAGAAGAGAGAGATCCATTACAGAAACTACAAACCACTGAATTATTGCCCGATTTATATAACCTTTTAAATGATTTACAGAATGGGCATATACTGGCCAAAGATTTTGACAATAATGCTGGGAGCATAAGGCTTAAACTATCGAAAATGAAAGAAAATTTGCAAAATATTCCTGGAATTAACGAATCTGTAAAGGCCAGAGAGACGAAGATTCAGAACTTAAAACTTAGCAACGAGAAGAAATTACATTTTTTGAATAGGTTCAAGCAAAAGGTGGAATCTGAATTAGGTGAAAGTTCAACCTGAATCAATTACTATTTGGACAAGATAATCTGCACTTATACGGGCTATTTGTTGCCGGTTTGTTTCAAATAAACAGAGTCGCTGGCTAATTATATAAAGGCCACCTAGAAAGATGACAATTGGCTTAAAAACTTAAATTTCAATTGTATTATATCATATTAGAGAGCTCTTACATGAATTTAGAGCTATATACCTACATTTATAGATAATATTATTATAGGCTAGTGTCAAATATCGTAGATGAGTTTTGCCAAACAGTCGCGAGAGTTTTTTCAATTGAGATCAAATTATATAGTACAGTTGTTTTACTCTAAAAAGAAGGCTGTACCAATAAAAATTAGATGCTGCCACCTCTGTTTATCAATAAGTTAGCTTTGCCTAACATTGCCACAATCACTCAGTATCCAGCCTTGAGTGTTGGGTTGTCAGTTTTTACATTCTTGTTGCTAGTTATAGATCTTAGTTTAAATCAAGCGTTGAGTCAAAAGTTCTCGTTGCATCCAAATGCTCCATTCGAATTCGATTTGAATCGTCTTTCCTTCTATTTGTTATTCCATCGTGGCTTCATCCACTGGTTATTGAATATTATTGGGTTGTTCACCCCATTGGCTATATTTGAAAGAACACATGGCACTGTTTTTACCGGCGTTACTCTTAACGTGTTAGCTGTTACTGCAGGTTTACAATTTTGTATTGTCGGTAAGCTTTTATACCCTAATACCCAAGTTATTGGTTTATCTGGAGTGGTTTTTCTGTTCATGAGTTTTATGGCCTACAAAGAACATCACACAACACCTGTGATCTACACGTTTAAATACCAGGGATCTGAAGTATCTATTCCTACATTATACTCACCATTTCTCTTCTTGGTTGTCTGTATGGTATTAATCCCAGGTTCATCGTTTTGGGGACATTTGGCAGGGATTTCTTCCGGCTATTTGTTGGCGTTGGGCTATATCAAATTTATGTATCCGCCACTGAAAGCTATATTATTCATAGAAAGAAAATTACAAACTCCAATCAATTCTTTGCGTTCTTTGGTTGTATATTATAAAGAAGAAGAAGCTATCGAACAAAGAGGTGTTAGCTACAATCCAATTTTAAGTAGCGATGTCGAGTCTGCTCTTAACGATGTTCCAATTACTACGGGAACAAGAACCAATTCTTTCGCTGGAGAAGGCCAGGTTTTAGGTTCAGCCTAACAGATACAGACTCTTGTATGCTCTGATTGACTTGTTAGTCATAAATAATTTAATTAGTTGTGAAATATATAGAGATCGGTTTAGTCGTTTATATACAGTGAAGAAAACCCCACAACAAAATTGTAGCCGAGGGTTCAATAGGTCTCACAATTTTTACATAAACAGTACTCAACCATACTGCAAATATTGCCTTTTGATATATAAGAATACATTGATTCTGGTTAGCATGGGGAAGCATGAAAGTTTAGGCTCACCTGCTAAGTCAATGCAAGAGAAGAAAATGAGGGAAGGCAGCTCTATTGCTATATCACGACAAGACAATCAACAAGAGCCGATAGTGAAACATACCGTAAATAGAGCCAATGATTCAGAAAGAAGCAATTCTAAGAAGAAAGAGGATGTAAATATACACAATCACAATGATCATAATGAACATAACGAAAATAATAACAAACAAATAATATCGCATACATCTAACAATAATAGTAAGAAGAAGAAACGTCGAAGTAAGTCCAAGGCTAAGAATAATACAAAGACAAAGGCATTGAATAACGAAAATGGACTAGGAGATGATGAAAAAAGATCAAAAGGTCATATAGACGAGAAATTGAATATACTGAATACTCATAAGATAGATGCCCAAGTGTCCCTCGTTAGGACGCCCGTGTTGACGCCCGATGAAAACGAAGACAGAGAGACAGAGAATCAAGGGTCAGAACACAAGCCATCCGTGCTTGATGTAAATTTCAAAATTAATCCTCCTATCGGGACTGATCAATTACAGGCGTCAAATTTAAGTCCTAGAAAACAGACTATTTTAAGATACAAGAAAAGCGACGATGGGATAAATGAGAGGTCACTTATAAGTGAAGCCAAAGAAAACTTGAAAAATAAGAAGATAAATTCCAAGACACCGGAGTCTCAGTGTAGCAAGATTGATGAAACAATGGTGTCACCGCAAACTGGCTTAGATATGGATAAAAAAGTCACTTTATTTAAACATAAATCTTCGCGGATATTAGTATTTGACGAGCAATTGAATGAAAAGAAGACCGAAATTGAGAAAGCATCATCAGGTAGATTATTGGGGCACGGAGAATTTGAGATTTTTCAATTGCATAATGGTGATGTAACTTATCTTTCATGCGGACCATCATTTGTGTATCCTTTATTACCAAAGTTGAAGATATTGAGAATTGATTTCAATCAGTTTATATTGCCTTTGGTGAATCCTGAAAGATATTGGAAAATCTCTATAAATTCCGATGATAGATATCTTATCGAGCTGTTGGAGAAAACGCTTGAAGAAAATGTGAAGTATAGAAATCTATTTTTTGGAACAAATCAATTGAGTTCTACAAGCATTTGTGAATCTATAGAACAAGAAATAACCCAAAACTATGCTAATGATAATGAGACTAAGCAAACTCCTGATTCAGAGGCTATAATGAATTCAAGTGCCGACTCTAAAAAAAATGAAATTCCTGTCGCCGAAAATGCAGCAAACTATCAGTTTCCTATAATTTTCAACGAAATACCGGATTCACCTCCGTCAGCACCTTTATCACCACATAATGAAAACATCACTAATGTGAATCTTATGACTCCAACAAAAAACCCACATCTACTTCCTGGGTGGTCTCTAAAAAAGAAACAATCAGATCAGTCAATTAATAGTGCTATGGCGAGCCTAGATGTCAATAAAGATATAGAAACTATAGCAGCCAATAATCGCGTTAGAAGGACAGATTCGAAAGGAATATTTGGCTCCGATAAAGTAGGAGCACCTTTGACATTAAACCAAAACCAAAAGGTACATCATCCAAAACCAAAGAAGTTTGCAAATTCGCTAAACAAGAATCCTATCCAGTTTCAAAATAAAACTCATAAATCACAAGATAACAAATCAGATTCGTCCATGGATTCCTTGTTAGACGAATACGAAGAAAATATTCATACCACAAAATCTATAACCTTCAATTCAAGACCGCCTTCAAGACCCATGTCGGTAGTATCATCTTTTTCTCGACCACAAATTAACTATACAAGAGGCTCTTATTTTCATGGACCCATTGAAAGAGATGCAGATGATCTTACAAATTCTCAATGTAATGAGACCTTTGAGAACCAAGAATTCCCTACTACATCATTATCTGAATATAATAAGACCAGAAATGGTGGTAATAGTGGCTTTGTGAAATCTCGTAGATCTTCACGTAGTGAGTTGTATACTTCTGAGAGTAATTGGATGGAACCGAGTGCTACAGCAATTGAAAGTGGGCACAACAGAACTATGAAGCCAAGAAATAGTGTACATGACCATGTTCGTCCTATATCTAACGACGTAAAGCAGATTTATAGGTCATTTACTCAGAGAAATTTATCTCAGTACACTAACGACCTAAGGAGCGATGCAGATTCAAAGTCTATGAAGTCGCAAACGAGAAAAGTTCAACCCACTTTCAATCCTGTAAAGATACGGTCTCCGACTATGGGAAGTCTCCATCCTAAAGGTAGCTATGCCAATAGTGTGATAAGTGGGCGTACTGGTTACGATTCAATTTCAAGATATAACGGTATCAACGAATTACCAATTCCACATAGCAAATCGACTCGCCGAGATTTGGACCAACACAAACTGGGAAATTATAAGGTTAAATTGAATTCGTCAGAAGTTTACAAAATGATTAGCGAAAGTAGGTCGAATAAGAATTTGAACGGAATCATAACAGCTTCTCAAGACACTAAGTCACAGGAGACAAAAGAAAAACCCCAAGGTACGGGAGGGTTTGCATCGAGGTTATTTGGCTGGTAATTTATTGTTATTAGTTAACAGTATAACATTATTTATATTTGTAATTCTACTGAGTAAAATATAACAGATTCGTTTATTAAATGTAAAAAATATATTGAGGAATAAAAAAGGATTAACAAAAATAATATTTACAAATTGTCATATACAATATGAATTCAGATGAAATCAATGTAAAAATACAAGCAAAAACGATGCAGTTATTGCGAAGGTGCTATTTCATCACATCTATACATACGAAACCACACATAGTTTAAAACGTTTTTTTATTGCATCTTCCTTTTATTTAGTCAGTAGATTATAATTGAGCAGCACCTGGGATTGGATTACCGTTAGCATCAATTAAACCTTGTTGCATCATCATTAATTGTTCATTACCAGCAGATTCAAATTGTAAACCTAAACCTAATTTGGAAGCATTCTTGGAATGATCAATTTCACCGGAGAATAAGATAGAAACAGTTGGCAAGACTCTCTTTTCCATGAAGACACCAACCTTACCAGTGGAGTCTAATTGACCTCTGAAAACAGATTGACGATATTCGTACTTAGCACCCATAGTGGTTTGACCTTCAACAACTGGTTCGAAACCAATTGGAGTTCCCATCAAACTGTCAGTGACTGGTCTCATAGTAGCGGCAATTTGTGTTTCTAAACCAGCTTCGACCTTGTCGGTAACTCTTCTCCAGAAAGAAGCAATCAAGGCACCTTGGGCTTGTAATTGAGCAGAAGCAATCCAGTTACCAGCGTTGTAACGAGCAACATAAGAAACAGCACTATCTGGTGGAACAGAGCCAGCTTGCTTGGAGTACATAGCTTCCAAACCAATGGCAAACTTAGAGGTCAAAGATTGTAATAAAGAACCGACTGCAACCCCACTGAAACCGCCGTTCAAGAACGATGGGTTCAAGGTCTTCAAGTTAATGGAAAAATCAGAGGCTTGGTAGTCTTGTTCTAATTGACACATAGATGGTTGACCGTTGGCTAATTGCAAGGTGACCTTAGAAATATTATGCTTGTCCCATCCGTAGTTGATTCTACCACTGAACGAAAGATCATTGTCAATATTACCTTGCACAAAGTAGTCATCAGCAGCATACAACGCAGAAAATGCATATGGTGGCAACACGTTCGAACCGATCGATAAGGTGTGCGATGTTTGGAATGCTGGTGCCATGGAGAACGCCTTGTTCAAATCAGCTCTCAACCCGGTGAAAAAGTATTGTGTCAAGAAAACATCACGACTGACCTCTTTGTTCAAGTTTTCAATAGTACCAGGGTTGGTCAATCCTAATGACTTACGGTGTTCACCAATAGTGATGTAAACATCGTTCAAATAAGAAAAAACTGGGTTCGACGACCAAAATCCATTTGATTTAGGTGCTTGAGGAGTCACACCTGGTAACGTTGGTATGTTTAATCTGGATAAGTCTCCTAATGGGACTGGTGTGGAAGAAGGTCCTTGTTGTTGTGACATTCTATTAATTAATTATACTGATATATTACTATTAGTATTAAAAGCTTGTATTTCAAACTAGCTTCTTTACAAATCGTCGAGCAGCAAATCCGGTTCATTTTTTGAAAAATTTACAATTAATACCCAGTATCACGTTAACTACTATACTAAGTATGTAAATACATACTTAAGACCGCTGCTCTCTCAGTATATATGAGTATGGTCTATTAATCCTGTATATAATCTGACGAACAGAGCGACCTAGCGATCATTATGGTCCAAAAAGTCCGAAAAGGACCACCAAAAGACAAATTGACGGAATGAAGGAGCACGAAGAACACAAATTATATGGGGCCAACGGGGTCGTATGGAGACGTGGTGGAGGAGTAGGAACACGTAAAAAAGTAGAATACAGCAGCTGTAGAGAGCCAAACTACGGCCAAATCGCACGTCTGCCGTCCGAGGCCGAAGGTCACGTGATGATATGACGTTTAACAAGAATTTACAGTTGGAAGACCATGATGATGTTGTGGTATAAAGGAGCTGGTGAAGAGTACCAATTCTATCAACAGCGGCAATTCTCAGGGCAGATAGACACTCAGCAATAGAAAGACATACAATATGACTGTTCCAGTGGTTAATGGTAGCTCTTGTCTATCATTGTACGGACAGAATAAGGACTTATTATTACAGGCAATTAATTTTTACACCAATGTGGTTGGGTTCACGAAGGAGTCAGACGAGTCGGGAACGGTGTATTTGGGTTCCGACGAGTCGAAGGTTATTATCAAGTTGGAGGTATCGGACAAGGCACCTTCTGGGAGTGAGGTCAAACAGATTACCGAGCGCTTGGTATCCCTGTTAGGTGTGAATGACTGGAGATCAATTGAGTCGTGCATCACTTTGATGGTGAAGGATTTGAACCAGTTGGTAGTTTTATTGGAAGACAGCAATTATCCGGTGCAAATATCACCGAACGAATTGTACCCGGATGAAGTGTACACCGTTGATCCACTTGGGAACGTAGTTGGGTTTACTGTGTGTTTCAATCCGTTAACGGTAAACCCACCTGTGAAGAAGTTGGGTCCATGGAAACCAGAACAAGATTCCATGTCTGCTTCGACTTCTGAATTCTCCAAAATTGGTGATAATGGCGGTACATCCAAGAAAAGAAGAAACATTGCTGTGATGACCTCTGGTGGTGATTCACCAGGTATGAATGCGGTAGTTTTTGCCGTCGTTAGGGCTGCGATTTTTAGAGGATCAAAGGCATTCTGTGTAATGGAAGGTTATGAAGGTTTGATCAGGGGTTCGGACTACATCAAAGAAATGAACTGGCAAGATGTTAGAAGTTATCTTTCAGAAGGTGGTACCAATATTGGTACCGCTAGATGCATGGCATTCAAAGAAAGAAAGGGTAGATTAACTGCCTGTAAGAATCTTATTGAAAGTGGAATTGACGCCTTGATTGTATGTGGTGGTGACGGTTCTTTAACCGGTGCTGATTTATTTAGAAAAGAATGGCCGTCATTAATTAAAGAATTGAAGGATACTAATGCTATAAACGAAGAAAAATACGAAACATATAAGCATCTTAATATTTGTGGTGTCGTTGGTTCTATTGATAATGATATGGCCACAACTGATGCTACTGTTGGTGCGTATTCGTCATTAGCTAGAATATGTCAAGCCATTGATTACATTGATGCAACCGCAAACTCTCATTCCAGAGCTTTCGTTGTCGAGGTCATGGGTAGACACTGTGGTTGGTTAGCTTTAATGGCAGGTATAGCCACAAGTGCCGATTATATCTTAATTCCAGAGAAACCTGCATCTTCGAAGGACTGGCAAAAACAAATGTGTGAAATTGTTCAAAAGCATAGAGCCAAGGGTAAAAGAAAGACAATAGTTATTGTTGCTGAAGGTGCTATCACTTTAGACTTAAAGCCTATTTCATCAAAAGATGTGAAAGATATCCTTGTAAACAAATTAGGTTTGGATACAAGGGTAACTGTTTTGGGTCATGTTCAGAGGGGTGGTACTGCTGTTGCATATGATCGTATTTTAGGTACCTTACAAGGTGTTGAGGCAGTTAAAGCTGTTCTTGACTGTACACCAGAAACACCATCTCCTTTGATCGCCATCACAGAGAATAAGGTTGTAAGAAAATCCTTAGTAGAAGCGGTGGAAATTACGCAATCCGTCGCTACTGCTATTGAAGAACGTAATTTCGAGAAGGCCATGTCATTAAGAGAAACAGAATTTGTCGAACATTTAAATAATTTTATCTCCATGAATAGTGCAAACCACAATGAACCAACCTTACCTGTTGAGAAAAGAAAGAAGATTGCTATAATAAATATAGGTGCACCTGCTGGTGGGATGAATAGTGCAGTATATTCCATGGCCACTTACTGTATGTCAAAAGGACACACACCATATGCCATTTACAATGGGTTCACAGGTTTGTCGAGACATGAATCTGTGAGACTGATGGACTGGTTAGACATTGAAGGGTGGACATCAATTGGTGGGTCGGAAATTGGTACTAATAGAGCAACCCCAGACGAGACTGACATAGGAATGATAGCATATTATTTTGAAAAATATCAATTTGACGGATTAATACTCGTTGGGGGTTTTGAAGCCTTTGTTTCGTTGGACCAATTAGAAAAAGCAAGATCTATGTATCCCGCATTTAGAATACCAATGGTTTTGATTCCTGCTACTATTTCAAACAATGTTCCAGGAACAGAATATTCATTAGGTTCAGATACTTGCTTGAATGTCTTAATGGAATATTGTGATGTTGTTAAGCTTTCGGCTTCCGCTACAAGAGGACGTGTATTTATTATTGAAGTTCAAGGTGGTAACTCTGGTTATATCGCAACATTTGCTTCCTTGGTTTCGGGTGCACAAGCTTCGTATGTACCAGAAGAAGGTATTGCATTAGGACAATTGGAAATGGACATCAGCTCTTTGAAGGAGGCATTCTCTATTGAAAGAGGTATCTCCAAGGCAGGTAAGTTAATCTTGAAGAGTACGAATGCCTCCAAGGTATTGACTACTGAAGTTCTCGCGGATGTCGTTAACCAAGAAGCTAATGGAGAATTTGATGCTAAGACAGCTATCCCAGGTCATGTTCAACAAGGTGGCTTACCTTCGCCAATTGACAGAACTAGAGGTGCTAGATTTTCCATTAAAGCAGTTCAATATATCGAAGAGACTTTTGATGATATCCACCCATATAGATATGAAATGAACTTCCCAACAGATGATAAAAAGGTGCAAGCTACCGCAGCGGTGTTAGGAGTTGAATCTTCTCATTTGAAATTTAGATCCATTAGAAAGCTTTATGATTTTGAGACAGAACTTACTAAGAGGATGCCTAAGAAAATTTCTTGGAATGAAGTAAGAGATATCGCTGATCAATTAGTCGGCAGAACTCGCCTTCAAAAATAATCTTATTCCGTCAATTCATCTGCGATTTTTGCTGGAATTTATTCATATCACATTTTCAACAGAAATTTACGAGAATGCGACCATCTTGTTTGCGGCAATTTGGTTCCAAGAGTACAAATTTATTTTACTTTCTATTCTATATTTATATATTTAATTGCTATTAGTTAAATAACAAGATGCAAAAGTCTAAGCTTATGAGAAATAGATCGAACAGTTATAATTATACCTCTCTGTCAGATTTTCAAATAGATCCTAAAACTCGGTCTCAAAGTCTTTCGTTACCGAATTCCAATGCATCTAGCATTCGAAATAATTCAGGTGGTGAGAAACCAAAAGTAGAGGACAATGTTACGAATAACAAAAAGTCTAAGAATCCCATAATTAAGGTTATTCATTCATTCAAAAGATCTGCAGATATTGATCTTGAGACTGGCGAGACAAAATTAAAGTCCGAGCTAAATGGATTTTCGTTGCAAATGATAGCAATTGGAGGGTCAATTGGTACAGGTTTACTATTAGGTAGCGGAAAATCCTTAAGTGAAGGTGGAGCGGTTCCATTGTTACTAGGATATTTGCTAGTAGCAACATTTATATACTGCATGTGTCAAGCTTTGGGTGAGCTCCTGGTGGCCATGCCAGTGACAGGATCTTTTACCAAGTATTCAGTTATGTTGATAGATAAGAGTTGGGGGTTTGCAATGGGTTGGAATTATTGTTTGCAATGGTTAATCTTATTACCTATGGAATTAGTTGCAGCTTCAATGACAGTTAAATTTTGGCCAGTTGTAGCAGATTACTTGCCTGACTATATGGTTATCACCATATTCTATGCGATTATTATTCTCATGAACTTACTTAGTGTAAAATACTATGGGTTGTTTGAAATTATCTTCTCATTATTGAAAGTTGTTGCTATTATAATATTTTTGATTATCGGAATATTTATAGATATTGGTGTTATAGGGAACGAGAGAATCGGATTTAAGTATTGGAAGGATCCAGGAATTTTCTCCGGAAATGGATTCAGTGGATTCATTGGGGTTATAGTTACAGCGGCATTTAGTTTCTCTGGAAGTGAATTAGTAGGTATTACAGCATCAGAAGCAAGAAATCCAGATAAGGAAGTTCCTAAGGCTATTAAACAAGTTTTCTGGAGAATATGTGGATTCTATTTGTTTTCATTATTTATAATAGGCTTATTAGTGCCATTTAATCATCCTAACCTAGTTGGAGACCATAAATCAGACGTCAATGCGTCCCCTTTTGTATTGGCTTTGACCAATACGAGGGATAATACATTTGCGAACATAATGAATGTTGTGATACTTATTTCAATACTATCGGTTGGAAATAGTTCTATCTATGCTTCTTCAAGAACTCTAATTGCACTCTCTGAAAACAAGCAAGCACCTAGTCTCTTAAACTATATAGATAAGAAGAAGCGGCCCTTGATTGCAATTGGAATATCCATTAGTTTTGGCTCGTTAGCCTATATATCGGTACTTTCTCCAACAGGTTCAGAGATTATGTTCCTTTGGCTTATGTCCATATCTGGGATATCAGTGTTGTGTACATATGGAACCATTACGTTTTGCCATATAAGGTTCAGAAAGGTATTGAAATTAAATAAAATTTCCTATAAAGAAGAATTACCCTTCTGTTCTCAAATAGGACTTACAGGATCTTGGTATGGATTGTTCATAAGTGTTGTGATAGCCATATCTCAAATATATATTGCCATCACACCGGTAAATGGACACTTTGCTATAACTGATTTCTTTCAAAAGGTATTAGGATTAATGGTTATATCAATATTCTACCTAGCTCATAAGATATATTTGTACACAAGATATGGAGAGTTTCAGCTTTTGGTTGATTTGAAGACCGTTGACATGAAGTTCGGACGGTTCGCCAATGACCAAATTAGACAAGAGTTTAAAACCAAATTTCAGCAGGAACGATTCATTATGAATCAAAAACCGTGGTATACTAAGATTTACAATGTTTGGTGTTGAAATTATGCATCTTTCAATGCAAAATAACTGATAAAGAACATCTTATGATCGCCAGAACTATTGGCTGCAAACATGCCTTTGGCTGAGAAAATTAACACATAAATACAAAATCACACGTATTTACATAAATTTACATAAAATTTTATACACGAAGCAGGATGGTTGAGATAAGAAGACTAATTATTTCGAAGAATTTTTTTAATAAATATTACTATATATTATTATCACTTTATACGTCTTATTTAAGAAACTGATACTTTCTAGAAAATGTTCACTAATGTTACACAAGACGTAGGCGCGATATGAAAAATACAAGCCAAAAATACTCTGGAAGACTTATTTTTGATAAACATGAACCATATAATAAATTTAATTAATAGTACGTATGCATAAGTACCCAGAACTTCAAAGAATATTATTCTCTGATATTAACTTTGTAGATTTGAAATTTGAAATCATCGAAGCCAAGGACAAACAAGAATTGAATGCTATAAAACAGAAAGTGGTCCATATAGATCAGGATGCATTAGGATTAGATAATACCTCGTACGAGAAACGAAGAATCAAGGACCAAGTTGCCAATTTGCATAAATTAGTTGACCTGAAATTGAACTCTGTGGATGTGAAAAGATTTACCTTCAGAAATGAACCCATCCCGAACCCATCCCCACAAATAGTACACAAACACCACCAACAGCCGAATTCTCAAATTGCTCAACCGAATAATACATTGGCTACACCATTAGTATCGGGTATTCAAGGAGTGAAATATACCGTCAATTCAACAAACAGCCATTTATTGATAGCCGATATCTCGAAATCAATAGTGATTACCGGATCGACTCCTTCGTCAATAAACATCCACAACGGGTCCCATTCCATTTTGCAATTGAATTGCAATGGGCCAATATTTTTACACGACTTACAGCATACGATTATAATCTTACAATGCCATCAATTGAGGTTACATAATATCGTTAACTCCACTATACTCGTAGACGTTTCTAACGATAAAATAATAATTGAAAATTGCTCTAACTTGAGTGTTGGAAATCATCCGAGTCTAGATCTGACTATGTGTCGTCCAATACAAGTCGACGATTTCAATCAACCTACAGCTCGTCAAAATAGCCACTATTCAAAAGTAGATACTCATGCCGATTTAACCTGGATACAAGGCGTGAATGATGGAGCCTTACAGCCACAAGTGATAAGGCTATTACCTTAGGTATCGTGATACTCAATGGATCCCCTCCATTGCCGAGATGTGATTGTAAGACATAGGTGTGACGATATGGTGTACAATGTGAGTGTTCCGCCGATAAGCGCATACAAGCGATATGAAGCGCGTCTAGCTCGGTGTTCGGACTGACAATGATTTTTTTTGTTAGGGCCCGCCGATAACCGCATAACCTTATAGTCTAAATAAAGAGGTATATAAACGGTGGTTGCAGCCGTCATGTTTGGATATTATTATTATATGTACACAATCATAAGTTTTTTATAAAATCAGAATACTTAATCAGCTATGGCCCCAGTTATTACTAGACTTCAGAGCTATTCCAGCATTGAGGAATATGATGAACAGATACCACTTGGAGAATATTTATTTTTAAGGGTATGTCAAATCAACCCTAGGTTAAAATCAGTCTTTGGTATTCCAGGAGACTTCAATTTGAATTTGTTGGAACACTTATATGCGGATTCGTTGTTGCGTGAAAAGGGCGTCAAATTCGTAGGACTTTGTAACGAGTTGAATGCTAGTTATACGGCTGACGGATACTCCAAAATCATTCAGGGATTGTCGGTATTGATCACGACCTTTGGCGTGGGTGAGTTATCAGCCCTCAATGGGATTGCAGGAGCATTTGCAGAATATGCACCAGTATTACACATTGTTGGTACTACTTCAACCAAACGTGCAGATTATGCAAAGACATGCGGAGCTCAGGGAGTTCAAAACTTCCACCACTTAGTACAGAATAAGAATTCCTTGATGGCCCCTAATCACGATGTTTACAAACCGCTTGTGGAGCCTTTTTCTGTTATACAAGAAAGTTTGACCATGGATGGGTTTGATAACGAGGAAAATCTTAAAAAAATAGACAGGGTTTTAATTAAAATCTGCCAGGAAAACAGACCCGGATACCTTTTTATTCCTTGTGATATTCCAGATATTACTGTCTCTAAAGCGAGATTGGAGGAGGCAATTATCACCCAAGAATTGGCTGAAGATGATATCGAATCGAAACAATTAGTCGAAAATATCACCGATAGGATTTTGGATAAGCTTTATCAGTCTTCTAAGCCATCCATTATTGGCGATGCACTTGTATCTAGATTTCACTACGATGAAGTATTCACCAAGTTTATTAGTAAGCTCCCATCAAACTTTGTTAAATTATTCACGACCAACATGGCTAGAAATATTGATGAAACATTACCTAATTTTGTGGGTACGTATTTCGGGAAGGTTTCGCCTACAACCGAATTACAAAAGAATCTTGAACAAGATACCGACTTGTTAATCGATTTTGGATATTTGAATGTTGAAACGAATACCGCTGGTTACACAAGAGATTACAGCAACATCAAAGATTATATTGAAATTCACCCTGACTACGTGTTCATGGATAATGAATATATTGCTGTGAAAGACACAGCAACAGACAGGCGTAGATTTTCAATGGGTGACTTGATCCAATCGTTAAATCAAAAACTTGATACTACCTGTTTCATTAACAACAACAAATTGATCAATAATATTTCATATAAATTCACCCCACGAAAGTGGCACACAGATGACGCTACTATTGACCAATGCGTTGTACCTCAATCTAAATTAATTGATTTCTTTAACGATTACTTGCAACCAAATGATATCTTGATGGTTGAGACTTGCACATTTTTATTCGCAGTACCAGATTTAAAATTCCCTCCAGGTGTGACATTTTTATCGCAGTCCTTCTATGGCTCGATTGGATACGCAATACCAGCGACATTGGGAGTTTCTCTAGCAGAAAAGGACTTGGGAACAAACAGAAGAATTATCCTTGTGCAAGGTGATGGTTCCGCTCAAATGACAGTCCAAGAATTGTCTACATTCTTGAGACACGATTTAATTAATCCAAAGATATTTTTGATTAACAACGAAGGGTACACTGTTGAAAGAATCATTAAAGGACCAACCAGATCTTATAATGATATTCAAGCATCCTGGAAATGGACTGAATTGCTCAAGATCTTTGGAGATGAACATGGAGCAAGACATGTAGCTGCGACGTTGAAAAATGCGGCCGAGCTCGAAAATTTCAGGTCCCTTCCAAATAATGATAAAATCGAGCTTATCGAGCTTATTATGGGTAAAATGGATGCTCCAGAAAGATTTTCCTATATATCAGGAAATAAGCCTCCTGTTGCATCGGTTCCTCTTCAGTGAATGGTGTCTTGAATGTTATTTTGTACTATAGTAAGCTACATATAATAAATAATGTCATAAGTTAATTAAGCATGTAACAATTCCGATGATTAGGATAGGCAAGCCGATAAGTTGATATTTTCGGCTCGCTAGGACCCACTGGGAAGTGTCTAATACACAAATTGTTATAAACTCATTTGTAAATTTGCGGAGTCTTCATCGGCTCTGTATTCCGAACTCTTATAGATATATCGGTTTATTAAGATTCTGCGGATCTTGAGGCGTACCCCACAAAAATATAAGTTACGGAATCACTGTCCATTATGTATATAATATAGATATTTGGCTCTTCATATCAGAATGGATTTTCTTATTTATATTACACACAGCCAATTATGGCCTCAATGGATGTTAACATAACCCGCTCTTCAGATGTTTATGACTTTAGTGATTCAAAGTATCTTTTCAAGCCATACAATAAACCAATTTCAGAGTTGATAAGAGATTATTTGCCTTTACTGGATGAACATCTTCATCAATGTATATCAATTCCAGGAACTGAAGAACCTGGGTACAGTGGTGTATATAGAAACAAGATATTTTCCAACGGATTGAAGAAAACACTCACTCCATATTTAACAACTTACCATGAGTTTTTCAAGAATGCAGTTGATTTGTTTAAAGATAAGCCATGTTTAGCAGGTAGAAAATACGATTATGTTGCTAAAAATAGTGCAAACGAGTATAGCTCGAAATCATTCAAGGAAATAGACGAAATGAAGTCTACATATGGCTCAGGTATTTTATACTTGTTACAAAAAAATCCATACAAGAATAATGAAAAATTTGAAAGTCACAGAAAAATCGATAATCACATAAGAGATTACGAAACTTATGATACTTCTAATCATTCTTTCGTCGCTTGTATATATTCCGCTAACAGACCAGAGTGGTTATTGAGCGATCTTATGTGCTCTTCATATTCGATTACCAATACTGCTTTATATGACACTTTAGGTCCAGACACATCAGAGTATATTTTGCATAATACTCAGTCTCCAGTTATTATTACAAGCAAAAATCATATTGCCTCTATCGTTCAATTGAAGAAAAATGCCCCCAAGGAATTGGAACATGTTATTCAAATTATTTGTTTAGATCCATTGGATTTGAAGAATGAAACTCCGCTAAGCTCTGAGGATCAGAGTTTAGTTCGCTTGTGTAAAGAGTTTAATATAGAATTATGTGATTTGAATTATACTATCAACTTAGGTGCGTCATTTCCAACTCCGGAATTACCACCAACCCCAAATAGTCTATTCACAATTAGCTTTACTTCAGGAACAACTGGGTCTAAACCAAAAGGTGTTTTACTTACTCATAGTATTGCAGCGGCTGCCATAACTTCAAATTTTATAACCCTCCCAAAGATTAAAGACATAAAAACTTTTGCATTTTTGCCTTTAGCTCATATTTTTGAGAGGTTGAATTGTGCTTATGGTGTTTCACAAGGTGCATGTATGGGGTTTCCACAGATCTGTGGTACACCATTAACCTTGATAGAAGATTTAAAGATTTTCAAGCCTCACAGTATGAGTAATGTTCCAAGAATTTTTACAAAGTATGAAGCTGCTATCAAAGCTCAAACTATAGATCACCCTACCTCGTCTGTTACAAGAGCAGTATATAGAAAAGTTTTGAATAAGAAGATGAAGTGGCAAGAAGCTCATGATGGAGCAGATGGTCGTCATCCACTCTATGACAGCTTATTTCTTGACAATATTCGTAAGGAGTTGAAATGAAGTATGTCATTACTGGCTCAGCACCTATTGCACCTTCCACTGTTAAGTTTTTGAAAGCATCGCTCAACGTTGCTATGCTTCAAGGTTACGGAATCACTGAGACATTTGGTGGTATTGCTTACAGCTTTCCCTTTGAGGCAGAACCAGGTACTTGTGGATCTATTACTGTAACAACAGAAATGAAGTTACGGGAACTTCCGGATATGGGTTATAGATTAGATGATCCAGAGGGTCCTCGAGGTGAATTATTATTAAGAGGACCACAAATTTTCAAGAAATACTACAAAAATGAAGAAGAAACTGTTAACTCTATCGATAGGAATGGCTGGTATGCCACCGGGGATATTGCTAGACTATCAAAAGACCATGGTAGAATCTTTATTGATAGAGTTAAAAACTTCTTCAAATTGTCGCAAGGTGAATACGTCACACCGGAGAAAATTGAAAACAAATATCTTTCTTCGTCCTCTGTTCTTAACCAATTATACGTTCATGGTGATCCATCAAGAAACTTCTTGGTTGGAGTTGTGGGCATTGACCGTGTGGGTGCAGTTCAATTTCTAGTGGAGAAGTGTGACGTTAGAAGAGGCTTATTAAGTTCGCCTGAACTGATTTTAAAAGAGCTTAATAGAAAAGAAAATAGAACAATATTGTTGAACTTCATGAATGCGAATTGCAGAGAACAATTGCAGGGGTTCGAAAGACTTCACAACATTTATATTGAATTTGAGCCTTTAAGATTGGATAGAAATGTCGTGACCGCAACTCAGAAACTTAAAAGACCTGTAGCTTTTAAGTTTTTCTCAAAGAATATCGAAGCTATGTATAGCGAAGGATCTTTAGTTAAACCCATTAAGCTATGATTACTTAGGACTATATATTATAATGCTGACGATCTTATTTACTCCAGCTTGTTTTGCGAACATAATCTCTATCTGAAATGACTGCAAATACTATTGCAAGTAATTCAAATCTACCATTCAAAAGACTGACTTCAATGTGAATCCCATTTCGCAGCACATAGCTCAAAAGGTGGAACCGTTCGGCATTAAAAAAATGCCGAACGGTTCCACATTTCCCAATACGTAGGTTTCGAAGCGTACTAATCATCTGGTAATCAACGCTACTTGACGAGTCAAGACCACCAAATTACCCCCCGAAATGAAGAAAATAGAATTATACTACTTTATCTTTATCGAGGCGTTAAAAATATTATACCATTCGAAAAGTATCTTTATATTCAAGCACTCATTATACTAACATTCTACAGTACCTCAAAGTACCAAACTACATTTACCGTTCTACCGATCTCAGTTGTTCTTCGTTTCTTTTTGGGCAACGTTTTCTGCATTAGTAGCTTTTGACCGAAGCCTTCCTCCTCGATACACCGGATGCATGGAACTGGACCACAAAATTTAGTGCTGCGAGATCGTCTTTATTTACAAAGATTCTTTCTGATATTACGACGAGCTCCTATTGGTCGCACAAATATACAAGAATCGTGATGAACCATCTCTTTTGTTCATTAATGTAACCCCATTTCGGCATCAATCTCACCTCAATTAATTTGAAATAACCGAAAGTTAGTCGCACTTCCCCACAATCACACATCTAACTATAAATACTGCCAAATCTCTCAATTTGAATGAAAGACAATCAAATACTCCTAGAACTACAAATATAATAACAATATGACTTTTGAAGATGTTTTCGACAACGGTGATTCACCATATGTTTTTAAACCTAGCAATATCCCGGTTTCGCAATTGATCAGAGATCATCTACCATTGCCTGAAAAACTATTCAAGGATTCGGTACCATTGCCAGGAACCGAAAAGGAAGGATATAGTGCCATCTTTAGAAACAAAGCATTTCCAGCACATTTGAAGGAAGCACTCATACCGGATTTGGATACATACTACAAACTTTTCAAGAATGCAGTTCAGTCATTCGGTGATAAAGAGTGTTTGGCATACCGAGAATATGATTACGTGAACAAGAAAAGTGCTGATGGTTACAGTTGTTTATCGTACCGTGAAGTAGATGACATGAAGCAGAAGTATGGATCGGGGTTCCTTTACTTGTTGCAAAACAATCCATACAAAAATATTGAAAAATTCGTAAGTCACCAGAAAATCGACAACCATGTCAGGGATTACAATAATTATGACATTTCTGATATATCTTTCGTTGCTACTCTCTACTCGGCTAACAGGATGGAATGGGTCTTGAGTGATCTTATGTGTACGGCGTATTCGATCACTAATACTGCTTTGTACGATACGTTGGGGGCTGACACTTCTGAGTATATTTTACATACAACTCAGTCTCCCGTCGTCATTACATCCAGAGAGCACGTCCTGGACATTATAAAGTTGAAAGAAAAATACCCTGAAAAGTTAGAACATGTTATTTCTATCGTTTGTTTGGATCCATTGGACATGAAAAACGAGACAGTTTTGGGTTCTGAAGACCGTGCTTTGGTTGCAGCGGCCAAATCTCACAGAATTGCTTTGGTCGATATCAATCAAGTTATCAAAGTGGGTGAAATATTTCCAACCCCTGAATTACCACCAAACCCTGAAACTTTATACACTATCAGTTTTACTTCTGGTACTACTGGCGCAAACCCAAAGGGTGTTTTGCTTTCCCAAAAAATTTGTACAGCAGGTGTTACATTTGTTCTTACTCAACTTCCACGTATCTCTAATGCAAGATCATTCTCATTTTTGCCGCTAGCCCATATTTTTGAGAGACAAGTTTGTGCTTTTAGTTTATCATGTGGTAATTGCGTAGGGTTTCCTCAATTAGGTGGAACACCTTTAAGTTTAATAGAAGACTTGAAGCTCTTTAAACCAAACTACATGTGTAATGTTCCTAGAGTGTTTACCAAATACGAGGCTGCGATTAAGAATTCCACCATCGACAATCCAAATTCAGCATTCAAAAGAGCGGTTTTTGATAAGGTTATCAATTCAAAAATCGAAGCCCAAGAGAAATATGATGGGGCAGATGGTTCTCATGCCGTATACGACCGTTTGTTTTTGAGTGCTATACGTAAAGCTTTCGGGTTTGACAATATGCAATTCGTCGTTACTGGCTCAGCACCAATTTCTCCTTCCACAGTTAAGTTCTTGAAGGCTTCACTTTGTATCGGTATGCCACAAGGTTATGGTTCCACTGAATCATTTGCAGGGTTTGCCATTGGTATTCCTCATGAAGCTAACCCTGGTTCGTGTGGTTCCGTTGGTGTTACTACGGAAATGAAATTGAGAGAACTTCCATCAATGGGATACAAATTGGATGATCCGGAAGGTCCTAGAGGTGAATTATTGTTAAGAGGACCACAAATTTTCAAGCAGTATTTCCACAATGAAGAAGAAACCAAAAAGTCGTTTGACGATGAGGGCTGGTTCCACACTGGTGATGTAGCCAGAATCTCAAAAGAAAAAGGTAGATTATTTATTATCGACAGAGTAAAGAATTTCTTCAAATTGTCACAAGGTGAATACGTTACCCCCGAAAAGGTTGAAAACAAATATCTTTCGTCATCATCCATTCTCAACCAGTTATACGCACATGGTGACTCTTTGAGGCACTTCTTGGTAGGAATTGTTGGTATCGATCCTGAAGGTGCTGTCAGCTTTTTAGTTGATAAATGTAAAGTATCAAGAAGCAAATTGTCTTCTCAAGAGCAGATTTTAACTGAAATTAATAAGAAGGAAAACAGAGAAATATTGGTGTCTTATCTTAACTCAAGAGTTGGTAACCAATTATCAGGATTTGAAAAACTTCACAACGTCTACGTTGAATTTGAGCCATTGAGATTAGATAGAGACGTTGTTACGGCAACTCAAAAGCTTAAGAGACCTGTTGCTGTAAAGTTTTTCAAGTCCCAAATTGATGCAATGTATGACGAGGGATCATTAGTTAAAGGTCCTAAGTTGTGATTCTTAGAATTATTTATATTTGTGTAGACTTTATAAACCGTAATATATATAATGCTCATCAATATGCTTAGTAGACTATAATAAGAGGAATGTCGCATTCTGAATTATTTTGAAATGTCTCGCGACATTGACGAAGACTTACGATTTCAAGTAACCATGAAAAGTTAATAGGTATAACCAATCCATCGAACTTTGAAATAGATATAAAGAAACAGCAGAGGTCGTTATGGTATGTGTGATTTCTTTTTTGTCTACCACTTAATATTATTGATAGCTCTCGTACTAACTCGTTTATAGTCAGCAAATACAATTTCAACGAAAGTTCAAAGTAAGGACTTAAATGGTTTGTCATTAATCGCAGCCCATTCACACATTTCAGGGTTAGGTTTAGATGACAACTTGCAACCAAAGGAATCAGGACAAGGTATGGTTGGTCAATTAAAGGCTAGAAAGGCTGCTGGTGTGATTTTAAAGATGATTCAGGCCGGTAAAATTGCTGGACGTGCAGTTTTAGTAGCAGGTCCTCCATCTACCGGTAAAACTGCTATTGCTATGGGATTATCGCAAAACTTAGGGTCAGAAGTCCCATTCACCGCCATTGCTGGTTCTGAAATCTTTTCATTAGAATTATCTAAAACAGAGTCTTTAACACAAGCTTTCCGTAAATCCATTGGTATTAAAATTAAAGAAGAAACCGAGATGATCGAGGGTGAAGTTGTTGAGATTCAAATCGACAGATCAATTACTGGTGGTCATAAACAAGGTAAATTAACTATAAAAACTACCGATATGGAAACTATCTACGAGTTAGGAAATAAGATGATAGAAGGTTTAACTAAGGAAAAGGTTTTAGCTGGTGATGTTATATCCATCGACAAAGCATCTGGTAAGATTACTAAATTGGGTAAATCATTCACTCGTGCAAGAGATTATGATGCAATGGGACCTGAAACAAAGTTTGTTCAATGTCCAGAAGGAGAATTACAAAAAAGAAAGGAAGTCGTTCACACGGTTTCTTTGCATGAGATTGATGTGATAAATTCTAGACAACAAGGCTTTTTGGCTTTGTTTTCCGGGGATACAGGTGAAATTAGATCAGAAGTTCGTGATCAAATTAACACTAAGGTTGCAGAATGGAAAGAAGAAGGCAAAGCCGAAATAGTACCAGGTGTTTTGTTTATCGATGAAGTTCACATGTTGGACATCGAATGCTTCTCATTCATAAATAGAGCATTAGAGGATGATTTTGCTCCTATTGTGATTATGGCTACTAACAGAGGTATCTCAAAGACCCGTGGTACCAACTACAAATCTCCTCATGGTTTACCTATGGATCTCTTAGATAGATCTATTATTATTCATACTGCTCCATATAATGCTGATGAAATCAGAACTATTTTGTTGATTAGAGCAACCGAAGAAGAAGTCGAATTAACTGGTGATGCATTGGCTTTATTAACTAAGATTGGACAAGAAACTAGTTTAAGATATGCTTCTAACTTAATATCAGTATCGCAACAAATTGCTTTGAAGAGAAGAAGCAATTCTGTCGATTTACCTGATATTAAGAGAAGTTACATGCTATTTTTAGACTCTGATAGATCTGTTCAATATTTAGAAGAGTTCTCTACACAGTTTATTGACGACAGCGGTAACGTTACATTTGGAACAAACGATGCATCTGTTACACAAGCTAAAGGTGCCGCCAATGCTGAAGATAAAATGGAAACTGATTAGTTAATCCATTGTGTTTCTACGATAGATTGTTTGTACTAATTAAAGAAATTTTCGTTCAACTTATATGTAATTTAAAGTCATTTAATATGATATTATAAATAAAAGCAAATATGAAAACCGCTTTGGCGACGACCATGTAAGCAATAGATTTTATGTATGGTGGCTCAATATCCATGAGAAATAAACAAATCAAAAATTGATCTAACGCAAATGAAATACAATTCTAACAAACATAATTGTTGTGTGTAAGCTATTCGGATTAACCACTACCCTTGGTGTTCAAAATTAAGGCAATAATCATACCATATAACCCCAAAACTTCAGCAAAAATTAAAATCAAGACTATACCGACGAAGAGTCTTGGCTGATGCATAAATTGTCTAACCCCTTCATCACCTACAATTCCAATGGAATAACCTGATGCTAAACATGCAAATCCTACGGACAATCCGCACGCCAAATGCATAAATCCATTAAAAAGCGAATATGTCTTTGTTGGTGCCAATCCACCTGCTATCAAAACAGACACAACCAATCCATACACAGACAAAATACCCGACATAACAACTGGAATTAACGATTTCATAATTAATTCTGGCTTAAATGTACCAATACCTGAAATACCAATACCTGACTTGGCGGTACCAATAGCTGCTCCAGCGCAAGATAATATCATGGCAGCAGCACATCCAGCAAATCCAAGAAATGGAGCAAATGCTGGTGCATATTCGTCACCTAAAATACCCGACATTATGTTTTTATTGATGTCAATTAGGTTGATATTTCTTAACAAGCTGTCTATATACTATGAGCTAAGTTGAAGTTAACGAAAAGTCGAAATCCCCTAAAATTTCGCGCGACATAAATTTAGTAAATCGCGACATTTTTCATCCACAACCAAAAACAATAACATTTGTTGATACTTTCTAACGCTGCATTATTTAGTTAATAGATGGTTTCTATATGGCAGAATGAGTGGAAACAATGATTATGAGAAGTTACAGCTATCTAAACAAGATTTGAGGTATTTATATGGCCAAATATTCAACAATGCAACCTCCAAACTTGACCTTCATTTACCCACATCGAATAATGACCCTCTAAAGACAAAAGTTGCAAATTTGTTAGACGAATTTATATTAGATGCATTTGAGATGGCGAAACAGTCTATAATGATAGATGGGTATGATATGTCGGGAAGAAAGAACCCCAAGCCTATATCAGAATTATTATCTTTAAAGTCAAAAGAGAAAATAGAGCCATTTGATTTCGAACTAAATACACAATTGCGGGACGTTTTGGAGCATGTTGAGCAAGAAACAATACAAGTGAGTAAGCTCAGAAGAGAGTTGCCTTCTAAAGCGAGGGAAATGTACGATAACTTGATTTCCAACACAGATAATGATGTTTCTGCGATATTAGCAGAATTGGACTCTGAATTGCAACAAGAACTACAAGACGATGCTGACGAACCAGAAATAGATGAATCGCTGTTGATACCGAGAATTGATTCAATTGTTGATGATTATCAACAAGCATTTCTAATACTAAACAATCTCAAGAGAAGGATGCCGGAACAAAAATCCGAGTTAGATAAATTGGACGAAACCATACAACTCTTGGAAACGGCCTACAGGCGGCAGCAAAGTGAATCTGGTTTATGAGCTGTAAATATTCGTCCTACTCATATCATAGTAAATTTATGAATTCATGCATTGTACATTAATATATAATATCGAAACGGCTTTAAATAATGAGCCGTATAATACACAAAATAACATCATATAAACATCCTAGAAGATATCTTGTAGTGATATTCCATTCTTTGTTTTTCAAGTATATTGTTCAAAATTTCGAGATGTTTATTTTGACTGAAAGGAATTATTTACTTTTCGACCCAATGCGGTTATATGAATAAATGCATTAATTGTGTTTAAATCTTGATCTTGATGGAATACACAAGTCAATGTTCTTTCTGAATATATTCAGTAGCATATCCAAGTAGCATTCTAAATTATTATTCCTAATTAGAAGATATGACATCGCCTATAAAGAATAATGTTGCTTTACGATACTTGGAGTCAATCAATGATTCAGGTGTTGAGACTCCAAATAGATTACCATTACAGCCGACATTGAAGTACAATTTGACACCCTCAAGAACAAAGAAGGATCAAACAGATGAGCAGGACTTAGACAAGTTAGCAAAGCAATTGAATATTAATCCAACAACTAGTCCATCGAAGACAGCTTTGCTTAGAAGCAAATTTGAATCACCTTCAGTCACTGTTTCTTCATTCAAGAGTCCCCTGAGTAAATCCAACACTTCGGCAGCGAGTAGCCGTAGTGGAACTCCCTTAAGAAGAACTCCTTTGGATGGAAACGAAAGTAAGAAACCTTCTACATTTAAGAAAGATGTGATTGACCTGAGTTCAACTAAAGGTTACTTGGAAACACCACTGTCATTTAAAGATAACAACAAGTTATCTCCTTTGAAACAGCAAATGAATACCCCTTCTCCAAGTCATACCCCATTTTTATCATCTCCCAGCAATAATACCTCTAAGTATTCTCCTGGATATGAATACTTGTGTCGCATAATGGCTTTAAAGAATTGGCTTGAGAGAGTATTACAAGAATCAATAACTCAAGAACCAACAGAATTAATTTCTTATATTAGAAATGGTATTCATTTAGCAAAATTAACCAATGTTATTTTGAATTCTAAGAAGACTGTGTTCATTAACGACTCTAAATTACAATTTAGACATACTGAAAATATAAACAGATTTTTTCAATTGTTAGATCACCTAAATGTTCCTGACCTATTCAGATTTGAGTTGACAGATTTGTATGATGCTAAGAATGTTCCAAAGGTCTGGTTCTGTTTGCATGCAATGAGTTATATGCTCAACAAGATTGAACCTTCATATCCACGGGTTGAAAATTTAGTTAATCGAGTGGATTTTTCAGGCGAAGAAATTAGAACTGCAAATAGAGCTTTAGTTGGTGCCGGTTTACCCAACTTTTCAAGTGCTGATACAAGCGATTCATCGCCTTTAAAAGCAGGTGAGAGCAGCTACATGAACCGTGCCTTAGCATCCTCAAATAAACCTCTACCATTAAAAGGCTTCAATTCTGGCGATAAAATTGATAAGGAAAACCCGTTCATGGAAAGGTCTACCAAACTATTGCCAAAAGATGAGCATGTAACGAGACCCGAAGACTCGATCTATTCACCGCTCAAGAAAAATGTTGAGCAATACAATTATTCTAGACAGTCAAAATTAAATTCTTATTCTTCATCCATATCTAAAGACATTGACTACAAAAGTAGCAAATATTATACCCCTGAGGTAAACGAGCATATCCAAAATGTTATAAAACTTCAAGCATTAGCTCGAGGTGCCAACTTTCGTTATAGGATGTTTGTTGATCGTATAATGATAAAATCATTTGGCGATGAATTAACTTACTTTGTTTCCATTATGAGAGGTAATATGTCTCGTAACAAGACCGTTCATAAGCACCGAGATGAATTATTAATCTACAAACACGAGCTTGTGGAATTACAGTCAATCATAAGATCCAGACTTTCAAAATCTTTAAATAACTTTAATTTTAGTGGTTGTGAAAATTCATCTATAGGCTTTCAATCTACAATCCGTGGTTATTTGGAAAGAAAACGAGTCAACACCGTGAAGAATGCATTATTGAAAAGTAAGAACTCAATTATTGACTTACAATCGGTTATGAAAGCAAAATTAATTCGGCCAAAGGCTATTGTTCTCATGAAACATAAAGACTCAATTGAGCCATCCATTCTAGAATTCCAAGCAATTTGCCGTGGTTGCTTGTTTCATAGATATGCGAACAACAATATCATTAAGAATTTAACCAATGGTGGCGGTATTGTTCAACTTCAATCCATAATTAGAGGTCAAGTCATTAGGGATGATATAATGAGAAAACGAGAGATTATATCCAGGTCCTTGTCTGACTTATGTGATCTCCAAAGTATCGCAAGGGGTGGTATTTCTAGAACAAGGTTATGTAACAATGTGTTGGTTACTTTGATTTATGAGGATACGGTTTTGAATAATTTGTATGCAAAAGCAAGAGGGAATAACGTCAGGAAGGAAATAAGATGGAAGAAGGACACTTTGAAACAAAATGAAAACAAAGCAATCTTACCAATACAAACTATATTTAGAGGTATCTTATGCAGATTTCAACGTGAGATAAAATTGGATGATTTGTACAATGACATCGACAATATAATTAACTTACAATCGGTGATAAGGGGAAAAATCATTAGAAATGAAATTGCTTCCATTGAACAGTACTATAATGTAAATTCTGATAAGGTGATAAAAGCTCAAGCCATAATTAAAAGTAATTTCACACAGAGGGCTTATAAATCTCTTATCAATATGAAAAACCCACCTTTGACAGTTATACAAAGATTCGCATATTTGTTGACAGACAATGATATGGATTATCAAGAGGAGATGGAGTTGTCAGAATTAAAAGATAAGATAATCAGCAAATCCAAAACCAATGAAGATTTAGAACTTCAAATTGAAAATTCTGACATAAAGTTGAGCTTATTGGATAAAAATAAAATTACTGTTGAAGAATTCATAAAACATAAGAATAAATACAAGACATATAAACCAGCCACCAACAATGCAGTCAATCTCCAAAATTTAGCAAAGCTCAATAAATCTTCTAGGGAAAGAATTGATTTATATCAAACAATGTTTTATTTCCTTCAAACAAAGCCAGTATATTTTATCAGGTTGTATAACAGCATTCCAATTGCATCTAAAGATTCCAAATTTAACAAAGATCTTCAATGCTATATTACCCTGATGTTCCCCATAAAAGATTCGTCTATCAATCATCATTCGAGAGAAGAGTTTTTCTTGGTTAAATTCATTTCTAGTATGATGAAGAATGATATGGAGTATAACTGCAGAACTATAAGTGATATTACGAAGTGTCAGGAGTGCTTTTGGATAGATTATTTGTTACAGTTTAACAACCATACATACCAAAGACTTCATTTAAAAAGTTTAATGGGAAAATCTGTCTCTAATATTATAGATAATGATGATCTTGACTTTGAATCCGACCCTTCTGAGATATATAATGATGTTGTTAAAAGAGAAATTAAAATAAATGGTTCTTCTGATATGCCTGAACATGTCACTTCACAAGTTGCTATCAAAAACCCTGATGTATCGGCTAAGTTTGTAAAAAACTTGATGCATTTAAGAGAATTTTCAACTGAGGTATTCAATTTATTGGAAAAATCTATTGAAAGAATTCCAATCCATATGAGGCTACTTTCAAATAATGCATACCGCTTATCTCAGCTCTACTTTCCAGAAAAATCAGAGCAACAACATTTAGCAGTAGCGGGAGTTATATTCATAAAGCATTATATATCTGCTATATTACAATACCCTGAAAATTTTGGTTACCTAGCTAAAAGTCCATTTAATGCATCATTATATAACGCTAAAGCCAAGGACAACCTCAGGCATTTGAGCAGAGTATTGCTCCAAATGTTTTCTATGAAGCCATTTAGTGATAATTACTTGAAACCACTAAATGATTACGTCCTTTCAATGAATGACATGATTAGAAAAATGGTGTCTAGATTGATAGATGTTAAAAGTATAGAGGATGAATATGAATTAAATGACTATGATGATATTGTAACTCATGAAAGACCTAAATTGAGTATGAAGGTGAGTGATATGATTATGCTTGAAAAAATAGTGAGTCAAAATGTTGATGTGATGGCACCAAGTTCCGATGACCAATTATGTGATATAACGTCTAAGTTAGAAGATGTTATAAATTCTGCCGATGATTTTGTGACTTTAACAGAATTAGGTACAGTAACTTTGAATTTGAACCCAACTACAAAGGAAGATTCGTTAGCAGATTCAAAGGTATCTTCATTAATTTCACAAGCAAAAAGATGTATATTATACATTATTAGAATTCAAGAAGGAAGTGGTTTGTTAGAGTTGCTTATTTCTGGTATCAAACCTCAACATGAAGCTAAATTTAAAGAAATTGTCAACTTTGAAAGAAAGGAGATGGAAGAGTCTAGTACCAATATCAAAAAGAGACCATATTATAAGACATCATTGGGTAACTTATCTTTGTTAACATATCATGAATTAAAGAAAATGGCATTAGAAATCATCTTGAAATTAGAATCTATGGGAATCCTAACAAGAAAAAATGCTTTCCAAGATATTCTTAATCAAATTGCAATAGATATCAAAACAAAGCACTCTCAAAGGGTTAATCGTAAAGCACAAATTGACATTGCTAATAAAACACAAAAGAAGTTATTAGATAAAGAAAAATTTTTAACAAAGCAATTATCAGATTATAACCAGCATATTGACAATGTTTTATCAGAGTTGCAACTGAAGTCAAAAGATAAAAAGTTATTTAATATAATTCCAGTTTTTAGTAAGCAATACTTTTACCACAGAGAATTAAAGAAATCAAACAGACTTCCGAAATTTGGTTCTTACAAGTATTCTGCTAAGAAATTAATAGATCAAGAAATTTTGATCGATTTTGGGGGTCTTATGAGCCAACGTTACTCATCATCATCAAAATTAGATTTCATGTTCAGCTGCCATGAAGTAGGAAAATTTACAATCGAAGCTGCTACAGGGTCTGTGAATATTCCAGGTGCTTATAATTCGATTACGATTGATCAATTATTGAATCTTCAGTATGAAAATAAAGAGAAATTCGAATTATTTGATGGCATGGTAATATTGGATACTCATAACTTAACTGGTTTCATTTTCAGAAAGTTCTATGATCTTAAAAAAGACTAATTTGTGATATAATTTCAAATATTGTTATTTTAGCTCTAATACATAACAAAAAAATAAATATATAAAATTGAACTATTTCTTGAGTAATTCGTTAATTTTTCCTTCTAAAGACGATAATTTTGCGTCTTTTTCTAAACCTGCTTCGGTTAATTTAACGACCTGAGCTTCTAACTTTTCCACTAATGTAGCAAGTTTTTCAACTGTACCTTTCAAGGTAGGGCCACCTCCTGACGTAGTCTTCGAGGCGCTTGTTGCGGAAGTAGACGAACTATTGCTTTCTTTCTTAGCTTCTTCTTTCTTTGCTTCTTCTTTCTTAGCTTCTTCTTTCTTAGCTTCTTCTTTCTTTGCTTCTTCTTTCTTTGCTTCTTCTTTCCTTGCTTCTTCTTTCCTTGCTTCTTCTTTCCTTGCTTCTTCTTTCTTTGCTTGTTCTTTCTTTGCTTCTTCTCTCTTAGTTTCTGCTTGCTTATCATTCGCAGATTTATTCAGAGACAACTCTGGCTTTTTTACTTCTTCCCATTCATCATCTTTCTCTTCTGCCTTTTGATTTCCCTCATCGTCAGATTCATCATTAACTTTATTGATCAAAGCATTAACATCATCTGATGATTTCAATAATTCATCCACATTTTTCGGGGTTTGAGATGATTCCGGCGTAAATTCTTTATTTTTAGGTTTTTCAACCGACTTTACTTCCTTAGGAGATTCCTTCTTCTCTTTCAAGTCTTTTTCCTTTGCTTGCTTCTCTTCCTTCTTGGCTAAGGCTGCTTCTTCTTTGATAGAAGAAACGCTAATAGAAGCATCTGATTCCCTGATAGATGGTTTAGTACCTTCGTATAATGATTCCATACTCATTAATAAAGGCCCATTACATTCCTTACCGTCGAGAAATTCTTGTGCTGTTAAAGCAGGGTCTTGAGAAGGACAGTCAGGGTAAATATCCAGCTGAAATAATTCTGATCTTCTAGGAACAATAAATGATATTGGTTCAATAGAGTTGTCATTAACAGTCTTAAAAGATTTTAAAACCTCGTTCTCCTTCACATTTACCGAAAATTTTGGTGAAACGGCAAAACCTCTTTGAGGATCAGTGGATGAGAATTGTGATAATTCATGTAAAATATCATTTTCATACTCAAAGTAACGAATATTACCATCACCTTTACCAGCTAAATACAAAATGTTATTTGATTCATCAAAAACAGGAATCAATACACCTGAAGACGAATCAATAACAAGGAAACCGTCGATCGCGCCTGCTTCAATGTTATTCACATCCCAGATACCAACTTGACGATCCGATAATCTAGAGAAACCCGTGGTGAGGATTCTATCAGTATTACCTAACCAAACAACTCTTGAAGGCTTAGCACCCGTATGACCTGGACCCTCTGATAAAACCTTACCTGATCTAATATCCCAGATTCTTATTTTCTTGTCTCTTGAAGTTGTGGCTAATAAAGAACCATTATAGTTAAATGCTAACGAAGTAACTAAGTCTTTATGTTGTAAAGTAATTTCATCCTTACCAGTATCCAAATTCCAAATTTTGACGGTATAATCCATAGAGCAAGATGCTAGAATATTTTCAGCACATGGATGGAACTCGACGTGTCCCACCTTTCTAGTGTGGCCGGAAAGTACTTTAACTGGCTCAGTGATATCCTTAATATTATCAGATTCATCTAAGTACTTGTGAAATGAATAATCCTCTGGAATCTCCCACAAGCAAATCTTACCATCATCTGAACAACTGACAATTTGTTGTTGGTTGAATGGATTAAATTGAGTATCCAATACTGGTCCTTTGTGGCCTCTAAATAAAGGAACGGTATCTGGAGCCTTTCCAACTTCGCTCAAAGGAATTACAGCAAACGCACCACCTCCTGAAGAGTCCCAGTTGACGGATAAATATTTCCCATTGGAATCAATAATATTGGAATCCCATGCATTCTTTGTGATCTTCAAGTTTTCGTAACATAATTCTTTCTTGGTTGCCTGTCCAAATACGTGACGATATTTAGATGCCCTAACAAACTTTCCACTATATTGAAATATTAGTAAACATTCCATAATTATCCCAATACTTATACATACCTCATTGTATTTCAATTCTTCTTGTAATGAGTATTTTTAATTGTATTTTAATATCTCGTCGATTAATGAAGCTAATTCGTATAATTATTGATTAATGTTCTATTGCTTCAATCTACTATCTCTACTCTATTGATTGTCGATGAAATTTGAAAAAGATGAAATCGCGTTCCGACTCCGCAAAAAAATCCTATTGTATAGTAATCTATCGATACATAAGCTATTTGAACTAATGATTTTCAAAGTAATTGGTGCCATCAGGTTGGAACGAAGAGTTTTTAGTCTGATTTGTATCATCATCTTCACTTTCATTCGAATCAATAAAGTTAATATCTTCTTGGTAGCCTTGTGCAGTTGAAGGTATTAAATTATCCTGTTTACATAGATTCTCGAAGGTATCCTTCTTCTGTTTGTCCATTATTTGGTTTCTTTGTTGTAAGTCTATTAGAGTAAAATTTCCTAACGTTTCTTCTAGTGTCTTTTTTTGTTCAGAAAACCAAAGATCACGTCTCTTTTCAAACGAATAGCTCTGCCATACCGAGTACGAATCCTTTACTTCTTCTAACAATGTATTGCTATGATTTGCAGATACTGCAATTAGATTTTCAAACATTTCCTCTCCTGGTGGAGAGCCAAAGGGCCAGCTTTTCACTGGAATATACAAGCACACTAACTTAGCAAAGGTGGATAGTCCCAGTTTTGGAGAGCCGCTACCCAATTGATTCAAGTACCATTCATTGGTTAATAATTTGGCCTTGATCTCCCTGTCTCTTAGTTTTCTCCTGATTTTGTTCTTTTCCTTAACATTTTCCCGTTTGTTGTATATTCTAGACGCAACTTTCTTCTTTGACTTGCGAGCTTCTAGCCGTTCGTTATCCAAGAAGCCATTTCTACGAACAACCTTGCTCCTTATCTTCGCAATTTCCTCTATTGGGTGGAGGTCATCGCCTTTTTTCAAATCAAGGTGTCTTCCATATGACCCTTGATGAGAAAAATGCTTTTTACAAAATTTGCAGTACCTTTTAGGATCCTTGAACTGTCCTGTTAGACGATCGTCATTAATGGTAATACCTTTGAGAGTAGGATCATCTTTATTTAAGCTGCTCGTGTTAGGCAAATGACCATCACGTTGAGCTCTTGCTACTGCCTGTATTGCTTGATAGTCCTCCTCTTTGTTTGGAAAATTATGTCGTATTTGTTGATGTAACACTTCATTTGCAGGAATACTTATATCATTATTATTTCTGTTGTATGGATTTTCTTCTACATGAGCGGCATGGCTATCGAGAGATGATAGATCTACTGATAAATTCATAACATCATTTTGGGCACTTTCCTCATCAATATTAAAGAACTGGACTTCATTTTCATTATTTGTATATTCGTCGTTACTTCTACCATTATCATTCATTATAATTGATCATCTGTATCTTTTATATCAATTGATTCCAATCTTAATTCATAAATTATATATTCAGATTTTGTGTCACGGTCTAAATCTATCTTTCATTTATCTATTATGAGCTATATATGACTAAATATCCATCTCAGCAACAATTTCACGTAATCTGCTAACATATCTGTTTTCAATCATATCGCCTTTACCAGCTGCAACTTTTAAAATTAATTCATTAAGCTCTGCAGAACCTAAAATATCGACATGATCAGCAGTTTTAGCCCCACCTCTTATATCAAATCTATCAGGTTCATGTTTAATTTCAACAACGGTTACAGACATATTTCCTGGATTATACCTTGACTTGCTTCCTTTTTGCCATTCGTGGCACATTGTGTGAGTTAACAAAGACACGGTACCATCTCCATCACCTAATAAAACTGGATTTTCGACTTCAGAATTAATAGTATGGTCTAATTTAACAGATGGGTCAGCATCGTGGTAGTAATATGCTCTTTCAGTTGGCTTTCCAATACCGTAGAAACAGAACATTTTCATATCAGGAGCATTTGGCAAGGCTGCTTCTAATGGATTAGACCATTTCAGATGATCATGGTTATTACGTTTTAACTCTTTCTTGGTCTTTGCAATTCCAAAAGAATACTGCTCTCTTACTCTTTTGCTGAACCATTCTGGTGATTTTTCGAGTACATAATCAATACTTTCATCCATGGTAAAGTTCCTTTTCGAAGTCCCATCAAGTCTGATAAAGGTTCCAAATGTCTCTCCCTTGGGTCCTGCGGGAAGTGTCTCATTAGAGCTTAATGGTGTCAATAAAGTGTTCGAAGGATCATCTGGAGCATAGGTAGCATTACCCCAGATAACTTCCCCCCCTTTTGGTAACATACTTGGGACACCTCCAAATGTTCTTAACATATCGACTCTTTCCTTACGACTGAAAAATTTTTCTAATCCATATACAGCTAATGCATTCAATTGCACTGTATCTCTCATTTCACCAGAAATCAATGCTGGGATAGTTTTGGGGGCGCCAAGGTACTACCCGAAATATCAATCACAGCAGCGACATTATCATTACACCAACTTGGGCCTCCATTACCATAATTTTCACCAGATGCTTCAGCCCATTTTAAAAAGTAATAGATAACTTGAGATCCCATTGAATGACCAACCAAGACAGACTTTTCGCCACTTACAGTTTTAGTTAATTCAATTTGAGCTTTTAATTTAGAGAAGTAAGCATCTCTTTTTTCCAAATCTAAATAAGCCAATCTCCAATCATATGAGGCACTGATCATATTATTTGGGTTATACCCTATAACAGCAAGATTTTGTAATACCTTGTTCCAAATCCAATATCCTGCTACAAAGAAGTCTGCAGCCTCAAAACCTTGGGCCGCTCTCAACTTAATATTAGGAGGATCTAAGCCAGTTTCAGGATCAAGCATTATATATTTTAACCAACATGTCTTGTCTAAGATCATGGTTCTCAACATATAAAACGATCCCCATAATCTTTTACGGAAATGGTTCACAGAAGGGCAATCTTCTGGCTGTTCCAATCCCCAAGATTCTATTCCAGTAGAAATAACCCCAGGAACCATAATAACGCTATGTTTACTTGTCAAATTATGATTAGCAGACATTCTTCTGCCGACTGAAAACGATTCGGCCGAACCATACAACGGATCCTCGTTTCCAGAACCATCAATATCACTTAATATAGACTGTAATCCTGAAGGCAATGCCTCTTTCCAATCATCTAGCAACCCACTAACCGAATCGAAACTTACCAACTTATCAAGTTCTGCCTTCATACTTGGATTCGATGCTGCTCCAAAAAACCCCGCGACGATTAAACCAATAACTGTTCCCATAATAAAAATCACTCTCCTAGACTCGAACATTTTCTTCTTAATCTTATCTTTTTTTTCCTTTTTAGGTTCTTCGTGAGAGTGATTGTGCTTGTGAGTTAAAGACTTCCTTCTTTTAACATGCGATTCAGTCAAAATAGGTTCACCTGAATCTAAGGCGCTCGTTCTAGCTGTTGTTTCTTCCGCCACCCCTGAGTCGTCTCCATTAGAGCCCTTATCTCTTCTCTTAATTGGCTTGGTCATATTACCTTTGAAGTGTGGTCTATAAATCCAAGTAAACACAGGCAATGATGTAAATTTCAGAAGATAAATGTTTCTGATGTCTCACGTGCAAGACGCCTCTTCCATGTGAATGATATAGAGACGTTTACATAGTATTAATACATTCTAAATAGTGATAAATATATTATTAGTGGTATTATATAGTCATAATGCATCCATAGTGTAATCATACTCGATGCCTGGAGTAACACTTGCAATGAACTTCAAGAAAATTATCAAATATTGATCAACTCTTATACCCGATGCTTCTTCTTCTTCTTCTTCTTCTTCTTCAGCATTGTCGCCAGAATCTCTATCGCGGGCCTTGTCTTTCGAGTCTAATGCTTCTGTCTGTTCTGCAGGTTCTTTAGAGTTTTCAGTTTTCTTTGATGCAGCCGCGTGAGCCATCAACACTTTCATAACAGACGAATGCTTACACGGATGAATAGACACCGACATAGTGTTATACGAAACTGGCAAAGTTTCTATTGTTGCAGTCTTGTCTCTATAATCGCTTGAAATGTCTTCGAACATCTGTTTGGGAAGCAACGGGATCCCATTCGAGTTGAACCCCACAAGATACATCTTTGGAACTCTGTAAGAAGTGGAGTATGTGATGTACATGTCGTACTTTCTTAAATTACTGTTTGCATTAGCTTCAACCAATTCTTCGAAATCATTCTCATCGTCGGAGCTCTGTTCCTCCGCATTCTCATCGATTAATTCATCAATATCATTAATTTCGTTGGCATCATTGCCATCATTATTGCCATCAAGGCCTTTGCTCTTATCTGTATTAGCTTCCAGTGTATCAGTCCTCAACTTTGATGTTTCATTATTGATTTTATGAGATTTAACCCATCCATCTTCTAACTCTTCTTCATCCTCATCCAAGTCGGTTTTTATCCCTAAATACGTAACAGCTCGCTGGTATGAAGATACATGCTTAGTTATAAGATACTGTTTGTCTGGAGGCAAAAAATCCTTCTTTAACTTATCTGGTGCTGAGCTCCATTGCCACGTCGGAAATTTGTACACCAAGAAGTCTCCAGCCTCCACAAACTCCTCGGGTGATATCTCGCCTGTGGTAGTGAAATCAGACGTGTGCTTTATGGGAGTTAAGTACTCTCTCAAAGAAGATAGTTTAGATCTTAACATATTTATTCAATAAAATAGTATTGTATTAAACGCTATCAGAACACTGCTTATCCTTATCAGAGCCACTTCTCCTTACTTAATATCGTTTATCAGAAGGTCGTGTAAAGGATCAAAATTACTGTGGCGGGTGGTTCCAAAATTCCAAATCCAATGTACTACATCTACACACAAGCTGATGAGGTCAGAAACCTCTTCCTGTTATACTATATGATAAAGACGGAAGGTTAGAAACATGTAGACCCATGTTCACATATTTATGTTAAGAGCTGGTGTAAGGCTTCAAGCCACATTCCAAAACGAAATAGTTTTCAAATTTCAATAATACACTTGAAGTGTCATTTTTTTTACCATGCCATATATGGGTCCCTTTTTGCCGTCAGTACTCCATGACTCTTAGGACAGTAATTAGATTTACTATAAATGTCACAAGCCAAGACATCAATACGAACATATCCTTGAAAATGCAAGGTTCCGTGATCATTCAAATTAGCTATTGGGGCTTACCGGTGAAGTGTAGGCAATGTCTTAAGGCAATGCAAACCTTAGCATTTAGCGTATATACGAATATTCGTTTATAACAGCTAGGAGTAGAAACAATTTTATTTTCCTGTACATAACCCGGCACCTCTACTCTACCCGATCCTGGAGTCACCCTCGTATGCGCTAAGCTCACTGGCCCTTGTTGAGTCAACCGTTTATCAACAACCCATCGAAAGTCTCATATTCCTGAATATCTGAATATCTTTCAAAACCTGCCCATATAACCAGGAGACTTAATATTCTCTTTAACCTAACTCCCTACCCCAGCCCCTTTCACATTCTACATTCTATCTTCCGTGCGTACTCGCATTCTAATCGCTCACACTCTCCACCATTCTCGTCGTATACAACAAGCCCCTATGTTATCACAGCTTTCCATTCCATTTCCTTACTGGTAGGTAGAACCCAATCTGTTGTAGTCACTCTGAGTCGGCTGCTCCACCCACCTGCGTGGATTCCTCATCGCGTTCTTACTATACATAAGTCGCGGTACCAAACATTGGAACCTCGTCCCGATTAGGCAATTTGCAAATAAATACTAACACCAAAATGTTTTCCGACGTACATATGAAGGTAATAACAAGAAATTAATAAATAAAACGACACGTCTCGTTTACGAGTCCTAAGACTATTTGCGAGAACGGTGCCAGGTTTGCGAGTATTAATAGTATATTTGGTGTTATTGTTTTTTACGTGTGCATAAAATTGTAAACATACCTGCAAATTGGTCGAAGGGCACAAACACAAAAGAAGACCAATTGACAATTACAGCCATTTTGCCAACAAACCCGTTCCCAAAACGTACAGCATCTGAGGTAAACAACCCAACCCGAACGCCATTAGCGATATTTTTTTGGCAGTATTTTGGTATTTGGAAAATACAGTTTAGTTTTAGTTAACGCGATCGAGTATTTGTATTTTGATCGAACTGAGCATTTGATACTTTACATCAACTTTAGGATTTTCAGGTATAATTGGGTATAATTTGTCTTTCGTCAGAACTTAACCTTCTTCAGCGACTCAACCTACTAGTGACGTTAGGATATACCATCACACTGCTACCATGTCGTCACTCACTGCGTCATCATCCCAAAGCTCCAACAGAATTGCATTAGCACCAATTAGAGACTCACGTCTAAACATCAATTCTCCATTGAGCCTGAAGAACAAGCGGTCGTACACTTCTTCATTAGTTGACGCTGTGGGACCTTCGACTCCTTCTGACTCGGTAAAGAGACAGAAGTTGATGTCAGCACAGTCACAAACATTACGTGCTACCAAAAGTGTCAGTTTCTCTGACTTCAGATTTGGATCAACACCACCAAAGTCTACCGGTTTATCATGCAAGCCTTTAGTTACTAACAGCACAAATGCCACTGCCGGTCTTGCTGCCACCAAGTTGAAACTCAAACTACAATTAGCATTTTATAAACTCCAACATAAAAAAAACAGCATTAATAACAATAATAAATCTAGTAACGAATACATAGATGCTACCAAAAGTCACACTCAAACTAATACGTCGTTCGACTCTTCCGATTTATTTATCAAATCCACTATTTCTCCTGTTGATAGAACTTCACATTTGCCTACTCCACCTAAGCTGGTGGGATATTCTTCTTCAGCAAACATGAACTTGCAAACCAAAACAAAAATTACTCAGAATCCTTCTAATCATGCAAAGAGATCCTCTTATAAATATCTGACAAAAAAGCCTTCTCTTTCGGCAATTGCATACGACAAGAATGTTAGCAACTTCAAAAACACTCAGAACTTGCGGTTGTTTTCTGTCAAAAGGGGTTCCCAGTATTACCACGAGGTATCAAAAGTACCTTTGGTTCCAAAAGATGTTACCAAATCAAACAAAACAGAAGCGGTTAGAGCTAATTCAGAAATCATACCACGTACTGCGGTCGCTTCCGATGGTTCGATGATCAGATTGCCAAAACCTCTTATGTGCAAGGTTGACATGGAGAGCTCTAACTTGAGATCCCTGTCTAACCCTGTGACTTTAAAATCAATGTCGTTGCCTCCAATTAATAAAATATTGAAAACTCCGATGAAAAATACTTCATCAACTAGAAATTTAGTCAATAACTACTTACAAAGCCAGAACCACCAGTCCCGCGCACTGACCCATTCTAAACAAGAAGATGTTAACCAAACTATCCTCAACACCGATGAAACTATCGACGAAGATGATGATGGGCCATTGAGAGAGTCTACATGTAATTCGATCAAAGTGTCCAAAAAAGATAATAATAATATCTTGAGCTCTTCTCCTATTAGAAATTCCCAAAATACGTTTGGAACCCCAAATTCGTTCAGTGTTGCGAAATCCTTATTACAATTAGGTTCTGGTTTCTACAATTAAGTATCATACACTTGTCATTTTGTATATTAACCCATCCGATAGAAGCAATTCGTACAAGTCGCTTTTTTTATTACCCCTAGAGTCATGAAAAACCACTAATAATCCTGGTTATATGT